AAGAAGAATCTTAAACAATCAAAAACAATCTTCTTCCTTCAAATTAAGCTGGCATTTGATAGATGCCGGGTTTAATCAAAGCTGTGCTGATATAAGAATATCTCATGTTCCTTTCAGTCCATTTTGTAATTTACAATTGCTTGTTCATTATGTTTATTATTTGTTTTAGTAGTTATTTAGACTTATTTGTACTTTGTTCAATTATTTATTTTCAGTGATTGTGTTAAGTCATGAGACTTGCTTATTTTAAATAACCAGGGAGTTTAATTGAGTTATGAATGTTAGTCATTTAAACATGCTGATAGTCTATAGATATGTAGTTTATACAATAATTAATTCCTGTGTGATTCTCAAAACACTTTGTTTCTCTTGCTCTCATTAACATTTGCCCATTTAGTATGATCTAAGTGGGAGTAAGTGGGGCGCCAGGTGAACCTTTTTCACAATAGCAGCGCATCATATTCAGACAATGCTGCAGATTGGCTTCATTGCTAATCACACATCAAGTAATTCAGAGTGAATTGTTTGGACCTTATTTACAATTTTCTCTTTTCTGTTTGCCAGAACGACGCTCAGCTGCATGCGTCGATCTTTATGGCGGCTCCGGGACTCAATTCAGCTCCTTGGCTTTGAACATGTCTTTTGTATCTGCATCTTACAGGCTGCACAGAACGGTTGCTGAGCAGCATTATCAGTCTAATTAACCCCATTTAGCTGGGTTGAATTTCGTAGCCTGCCTTCATTTGCCAGCTGCAGGAAGGTATCTTCAGAATCAGGTGCAATTCAAGACCAGAAATAGTGTCTATAGGTCTATTAGGGACAAGATTTCTTTTTGTACTTTGTTCACTGATGTTGAAGCACTTTGTGACTCATGAGGAAATATCTAAAAAAAACTCCCAAGTATGGATTAAATTTCAGTCAATATTCTGCTTCTAGGAATTTTGTGACACTTTCATTTGCTGTATTATTGTTTGTGTGCATCCACTCCAGAATGTAAATAATTTATGTAATTAAACTTTAACCAATGTTCCCACTATTGGTGTAAAAACAAATACAATAAAAAATCATACTGAAACTTTGTGCACCAGTTAGCAGTTTTTCTCAGGTGGGCCATAAGTTTATCTAGACGTCCTCCAATGACCTTTAAAGTTAATATTGAATTTGTTCTAAAAAACATCAATTCAACAGGTAATGGCTGAGTTTCATTAGCTTTGGAAAGTTATTTCTTTTTTTACTGCCTTGAACAAGTATGTAACTATTTTAGCTTACAAAATCCTGTTTTACAGCAACTGCTCTCATCATTTTGAGAAAATCAAGAAGTGCCTACATAAACATTTCTTACATATCCTCATGTTATAGCTTTTTAAGATAAGGCTTGAAAATCTGTTAGTGAGGATGGATAGCTCAAAGAATAAAAAATGAAACAACTAAGTTTGGCTTTAAAACTTGGATATGGGTGTCTTTATTTTTATGCTTCAAATTTATCTTAATAAATCCAGAAAACATTTTCTCTGGGTTTAATACAGTCCAAGCTGCCACACACTGCTGGTCAGCTGGTTAAAAGAAACCAGTAACTGACCTGCTTTCTTGTCAATGTATTGCTTTAACTACAACAGAAATAAGTGTTTTTTCTTCTTTTACTGAAACTATTTCTGTGGTTTGATTCCCAACCTTGGGATGTTTTATGCAGATCTCTTTCTCCTGTTTCTTCCCATTTTCTGTCTAATAAAAGTCAGTAAAGGCCACTATTGACACAAAATATCTTTCTTTTAAAAAAGCAGGTACGTCATCCAATACATTTTGTCAAAGACCTTTAAAGAGCACATACCTACTTTAGTGCGTTTAACATTTTCCTTCATTTAGATTTTAAACCAAATTTTATTTTTATTTTTAAAAGAAAACAAGACATAAATATAACCTTTAAAAATAACCATTGTAGAAAAATCAACACTTTAAAAATGTTATGGATATATTTATGTAAATGGTATTGCTATGGTATTTTAGTTTGAGTGTTTTCTGCTCCCCTTAATTGGAATAATACAGTATTATTTGACACACAGCAGAACATTTCACAGCTCTTGTTCTGCATTCACAGTACACAGAGGACCTTTGTTTAAAGCGTCATCCATCATTAAAGTCACTCTGGATGTACCTCCTCTCTGCTTACTAAAACGATGCTGCTGCATTGTCACTGTGTGCTTTCTAAATGCACAAAATCTGTCTGTGTATCCTACGCTTTTTATTCCACAATAAAACACAATCAGGTTTTCAATTTAAACGTTAGTCATAGAAAAATGAAGTAAATTAAATCAAATGTTTATGTGCAAATGCTGTTTGAGCTTATGAGGCATACATTCTCTATTTTATAAAATCTGAATAAAATCCATAATTAAAAACGTTATTGTATGTTAAATTTAGGCTACAGTGCATTTTTGCATGCATGCTTTCATCATCAAAGACTCAAAGGCTGTTTTTTCTCTTTGATTTATTTTTCTTTCCTTTGATCTTCATTGCCAAATTTGATTCTAATGAAATGTCTGTGTGCTATCTTCACAACATGCCAGATAAAAACATGTCCCAGTGAGCAGATCAACCACCTGTTCCTCTGCCAGAACTGATAACTAGCTTGCTACGGCTTATCAGGGACGAACCGGGCATAAATAAAACAATTCGCCCAGGTTAACTGAACAATTTGTGCGATTTTTCTTGTCAATGAATGAGTTTGCTGTGTGAATTTTGGGAAATGATTAATGCTCAGTTTCTGAGAAATATATGAAAATTAGGACACCAAGAATGCCAAGGTTTTGAAAGGTTAAAGAAATCAAATTCACTCCAAGAGTCCAACATCAACTCATCCAGGAGGTTAAAAAGAAGCCAGAACAGCATCTAAAGAACAGCTGGCCTCACTAAATTGGAGTATTTGGGATTCAACAATGAGAAAAAGACAGAGCCAGACAGTTTCAAGGTGAAAATCCTACAGGTCTAGGGGTACAAAAATAAGCATCTCAAATTTGTCAAAAAAAAAAACAAAAACATTTTCACCAGCATATATGTTGTTGTTTTACAAGACCAAAGTTGAACTTGTATGTATCATTACATTCATGAGAAGACATGAGAAATACAATAACTCAGTCAAACATGCTGGTGACATTTTGATGATCAACTTTGTTTCCTCAGGGAACATGTAACAAATTGATACTGATATTAGTGAAACCATAAATGCATAACATGAAAACCCTTTAACCTGTCTAAATTCAAACAATTCATTTTGCAAGACGATTGTGCCAAATTCCTTGGTTCAGAGGCTAAGTTCTTATTCAGACTGGTGATCATTCTCTGATGTTAAAAACTGCTTGATGACCTAAAACATTTAGATTTATTTAGGTTGCAATAAAACTGAAAAGCAATGGAAACATGTCAGGTAGCAAATACTCTTTCACTGCACAGTGCTATTTCCCGGTACAAAAAATGTCAAAACTTAAACAGCTTGTTTTGTTTTCTTTTAACTTCTTCCAAATATAGCTGATCTGCTTCTTTATATGAGGCACATGAAGCAAGTATAGTAAATGTAGTGTGTAAAAAGTCATGTCATGTCAAAAATGGCGAAGAGTAAAGTTCACTTTAAAGCATTCCTTTCAGCTTGCTGTATTATTACAACTATAGCACATTCTGATGAGTTTTGACAGGTATTTGTATACAGTATAAAACCAGATCATAGTTGAGACACTACTCTTACAGCAGACACTTCTTTGTTTTAGTCCTATAAAATGCAAAATAATTTATTGTTATTCAATATGTAAATCAGGCTGGATTCATACATGGACACATTTTGTTCATCAGCAGAGATCTTGCCAGAGGCTCCTCAGAGACTGCAATCTTGGCCTACTTACCTCCAGAGACTGCAATCAGTAACATGCTGTGGCATCATTAACAAGCGGAAAGAGACAAAAATCTCCTGTCTGAATTGTATTTCAGAGTCATGGTGTACCATGGTTGCTTAAGAAATGATGCTACCTTATTTGTTGTGTCATGTTGTTGGAAAACGTCTAGCATGTGCTTATGTGATGATGAATCCTAATTGGGAAATAAATAGTTGAAATTCAGTTTTCATCAATAAAATGGACAGTCTTTTGTCTATGCATCATAGAAGCCATGCATTTTTTGTATTTGCTGATGTCAGTGCCTTTAGAAAATACCAAAAACTGCCACATTTATTTGAAACTAATAAATGTGTCTGACTTTAGTTCTGCGTCATCCCTGATTTCTCTTGATTAACTTCATTATTCTTATCGGTAATATTCATAAAATGTTCACACAATCACATTGTTCATTTAAAAAAAAAAATAATTAGTTAATCATGCCAATACAAAACTCCGAACAAATTTATAATGACACAAAAATAAAACCATTATTTAACATATTATTTAGTGACATATATTTACATCTGTTCAGGTAATTTTTCCATGTGTACAAAATACATATTTACACTCAAGGTTTAGTTTTCTAAAGCATGATGAAATTACTTAAGGATTAAGGTTTTACTATACAGGGTAATGCACACAGAAATCAAATCAATAATATGTTCATCCCAAATTTGTATGGAAGTCCAAAAGTGCCAAAATTCAGAAAAGTAAATAAATCTTTAAATTAATATTGTTGTTGATTTCAATAATTAAAACAAAATTCAATTTACAAATAAAAAATATACAGTTATTTCACTATTTATTTAATTTCTTTATGGTCACATGCTGCATTTATCTGTCAGATTTACCCCTCAAAGTGAGTGGGTGAGGCTGCCACTATTTAATGTACAAGTTAACTAATCAGAAGCTGGCAGTGTTGTAGACAAGGCCTTCTTACCCGTGTGAAGAGCAAAACCATTTTAAATGCCATTGTTGTAATCATAAATGTGGAGGAGAAAATTTAAGCAAATTTGAATTTTGAAGTTTTTAAAGTTAAAAACTATGCTCCAGTTAGTAAAAAAGTAGTCCAGAGGAGAGAAAAGTTGAAAAGCTGTATTATCACAACTGAGTTAATTGGCACATTCCAATGTATTTGTTTAATTACACGTTTTCTACATAAATTGACATTCCACGGTATGTTCGATAAATTTAATGAACGTTTGTAGCATGTTTAGTCTTTCTGATCAGCCATCACTGTGCTGTGAAAATACTCGGAGTGAGACAGGAAGTACCATGCCTCAGTGATAGGGGGCAGTGCTGAGCATCATAGACACAATCAGCAACAGGTGCTCTTCTTTTACACACTGAAAAGACTGAAAACAGTCAGGGGGGAAATACAAGCAGAACTGCTCAAGCCACTCTCTGTGGCTGCCAGATTTTGATAATGAAGTAAAAATGAGAAACAATTATTTATTTATTTTTTTACAACAAAATGACAGAGACGTTCATGTATATATAACATAAAGGTCAGATAATACATAACTTTCAATTTTAATCAGAAAAGAGGTCAGCTAAAGAAAACATCCATATAATTTTTTTAAAATGACCTTTTTACATATTCTTTTATTTTTCTTGCTATTATATTGTTAGTAGCTTTAATTAGTTATGGTCAAAATTAAAATATAGCTTCCATATTTGATTTTTGTTTTGTACATCTGACTGTGGTGGAGCCTCACCAGTCATGAACCTCACCGCACGTCACTGATAGCAGCATATTTGGTACTTTATACTTAGTGTGCTGGAGGAATTTGATTCAATATTCCTCACCACAGTACAGCCATGTACTTTTGACTCAGAGGACTAAAACCTGATCTTTACTTCAAAACATTTGTTCTTCCTGCTAGAGTCCGTGGAGTTTCATATTGCTTGCTGGCTTCTGTGGATTCACTCAGCAGTTGGCCAATAAGGCATTTTTTTTTCTCCCCCCTGCATGGAGTCAGTGCAGTAATCATATGTTGTCAACAGGGGGCTCCTTTCCAAGAAGCTCACTAGCTTGTGGTCAGGTTAAGTGCATCCAGTGGTGTAGGAGTGGAGAAATTAACCCAGTTTAAGGTGGCGTTGGCCACACTGTGGTACTGGGTGCTGCTACAGGAAAAGCAATTTGGAATATAACCCCTGTTATCAAAATAAGAACTGAGAACAGCAAAGTTAGTCCCCGACGCATGATCAGCTGAGAGGTGGAGAGCTTCTCTGCAGCTTTTGAGTCAGATGATTCTTTGCTCTTTTCTGCGTCTCTCTCATTTACTGCAGCATTGGTGTGTCTTTCCTCTGACTCATGGCCTCCTTTCAGCTCCTGATCTTGGGTATTTACCCGACTGTAGCCCTCTGTTCTGAGAGCTGTTTCGCTCTTTTCTTGGGCCTTTAGGATAAAAAAAATACATACTATAGAAAATGCAAGGTTTGCATGCATGGTAGGTCAGAGCTTCAGAGAGAAATGTGTACCTACCGAATCTGGGCAGTCAATGACATCCGGTAAGATCGCTTCATTTAGAACGGCACTAACAGGACGCAGTGGGGCCACAACCACAGTTTTTCCAGCTCTCTTCTGAGCCTAAAGCATTTTGACGAGATGTCCAGTTAGGCACAAATACAAAACTCAATATAAACTTGTCATTTACAAAAAAATGATCCAGAAAATAATAAAAGATCTAATTACAAAAATAATAGTTATACACGGAACAACTCCAGAGGGAATTGTGAGTAGACAAGTGTTTTGAGATAATTATCCACATTTTGAATAAATGTTACAAAATGTTTTCTTTATATTTTAAAGATGTTCACCATTTCATAACTTTGCAATTTCATGCTTTTACACTTTTGATTGTTTGGTAGCTGATCTATTCTGGTCTGAAAGGAAAACATTTCTTATCAACGTGCAATGATGTGTCGCTGCAAGCTAGAAGTTTTATCCCTGCTTCGATAATTGAGGATATAGAGTAATTTTTTGCAATCTGCTCTACATCTGCTTTTTGTCAGTCCTATACATTTCTTTTATGATGATTGAAGTTATTTTGATTTTATTAATTAGCTTTGATCATTTGTAGTTGCCTTGAACATATCTGACCTTTCACTCACAAGAACAATCTTTTCCAAAAGGGAATTAACACAGTCAGATTATAAACAAACTGTAAATAAACTGTTTGAGCTTCAGTAAGGGTGTTTAGCTATTAACTGGTGAACTGGTGCTGACTGTTTACACTTTGAAATTAAATTATTATCACTAAATAAATCCTCAGAGATGTGTCCAAAAGGAAATTACAGCACACAAATCAGTAGTTACATAAAAACATGTTAAGGTTCCACATAGTTTATGATTTTGTTTTATTATTTTTTGCCTTTCAAAAAATAATAAAACATTATTTTGACTTAAAATTGTTTTATTTTGTTTGCCCTTCTTCTACTTCAATTAAACTTCAGGAAATTGACCTTGGAGTTAATAGATACAATCTTTGATTGCATGTAATAATATGTTTGGTCAATAAAATCTTATTTAAATAAATATTTCCTCACTGGAGTAATTTCCTTACGTGAGTATACGACTAATCCTTCTGACAAATGCGTTGCAGAGTCTGAGAATGATTATTTTTATGAATGTTGATGTAAACATTAAATGTTGTATGAATAAGAGGAATAAACATTTATCCAAAAGTACACAGGTATGTAATTAGTTTATTTTATAAAGTAGCAATTGTAAATTGAAGTTGCTCTCTTGGTGCAAACTGAAGAGAACAAACCAAACTAAAACCTTTGAACAAATTTGATAGTAACAAAACAAACTTGGTACAGCAGAAAAAATATCCGTATGTAAATACAACAGATTGAATAATCATACTCTTTGCTGAAAAAGCATAAATTAAGGTTCAACATATATATGACAGTTTAGTTTGACCTCAAAATATACATATATTTTTTAGTTGAATCTACTTCTTATTTGAACATTTGTATACGTTTATAAAGAAAGAAGAGAATAGTTCACCTTCTGCGTCACTTTTTTCCAGTCAGCTTTAAAGATCAAAGCAAGGAAGAAACCCGTCTGAATGAAAACACAAATTAGGAGACCGAGCCACAAGCCTGAAAAGACAGATTAGCGAACATGACAAATAATTACTACGCTCTTCAGCAAGTTTTGATTTAGGTAAAATAAAGTAACCAAATGAATTATTTGAGATGTTTTATTCTTGAATCTAACTGAAATACTCATAATGACAGGTTATTTTCCTTTTGGGCCCATTTTTTTTTATCTATTTAAAGTAAAAAAACAAATAATATAGCTCCAAATCCATTGTTTAAGTTACTTTACAGAGCATTTGCCTTCAGTTCGAAGGTGAAAGCGGAAAGTCTGAAATATGTGTTCGTCCAACACACTTTCTAACACTTTTCATGATGTTCCTAATTGCTTTACAAAGTAAGTATTGACAGAGACTATAATCATCTTATTTCACAAGGTCAGAGGAGTGACGCCGCTCTGTGTAGGTCTGATTTAAGTGGATAGCAAAAAGCAGAAGACAAATTTTGGCCTGCAGGGAAGAAAAATGATAAATGGTTGGAAGAGTGGTGTATGGCAAATAACTGGCTGAAATATCAACATCGAACATAATTTCCAATTCATTTCTTAGGAATTCAGTATGAATGTACTAACAAATGTAAAGAAAATGCAAGAAAATAGGGCAACATTCGGATTAAGGTAAAGTAAATTAAGTGACACTGTATGCTGCAGAATGATGCTCAAAATTTCAATTATTATTTCTGCTACTATAAAATTCCCATGAGGGAATCACTGACTGATTAAATCTGACCTTTAAGGATCAGATTAAAAGTCGTATCCTTTAATCTGACCTTTATAGTTGGATAAAGTCTGTTTGCTTTATCCAACAAAAAGGCTTTCCTGATATGGACAACGTTTGATGAAACTGATCAAGCGAAACACATGGCAACTTGTTTCCATGATGTTATTGTTTTAGTCAGAATAAAATTGTACAATTGATAGGCCAGTAAATCAGCAGAGCTACCATTCAGTTTGGCTCTTTCTTTGCCGCAACAAATTTTCTTTACCATCATTCCTGCAGACAAAACCCCAATAAGTCTGTCCATTATCTGTATGACAGCATAATTTTATTTATTTATTTATTTATTTATTTATTTATTTATTTATTTATTTATTTATTTATTTATTTATTTATTCATGTCTCTGACTCAGATGGCGGATTCAACCTGTTTCCAGTTGAGAATCATGTCTTCAGGTTTCACTCTCTACAAGGCAGAACCTTGACGTTTTCAGTGTACTGTAAAAAGTTAATCTTTACATTTTAATATGCAAAAAAAAGGACATTTGGCCCACTCATAAAACACTTTCAAACATTCAACATGGGTATTGGCCAATGTCAGTCATTTTTTAACATATTAATATCAGTCTGATAAGTAAATCTGAGCCAAATGAACAACCAGTTTTATTTCCATCTTGCTGCCATTTGTTTGTGTTGAGGGGACTGGTTATGTGGCATTTATTGCATCACAATTATTGTGATTGTGATGCAATAAATGCCACATAACCAGTCCAAATTGTGGGGGATTATTACACAGAAGCAGAAAGTATAGGGCTGTCTGTATAATTCTATTGTATTGGTAAATATCGATAAACACAGCCATAGTAGCTGTATCAAAATCAAATAGCAAATTTGGTGCATCCCTAACATTTAGTCTTCTGTAGCTTAGAAAGTTGCAGATGCACTGAACAGAATGTAAACATGTCTTGGGAAAACAGGACTTTTACTAATTCTTAACTTAAGGTTCCACACAAAACACCCAGAAGTCTCTGCACCAGTTGCAAAATGTTTGGATAAGAGCATATGGAGGCATTTTTGATGCTGTGATGTGGTGACATGGACAGAAAATATGATTAAGAACAAATTACCTAATATTCGCAGCTTGGCCCAAAACATCAGTGCTATTCCGACAGGTAGGCCGATGAGGTAGTAAAATATCAAATTTGACAGGGCTGCGATTTTCTGCATCCCACATCCAACAAGAATTCCTGAGCAGACACACTGAAGGATCACAAAAAAAAAAAACATTTTATTGATATAAAATATTCAAATTAAAATAAAACACAAAATTAAAACATACCAGTAGTGCATCAAGGAACTGAAGAAATGTGTAAACTGTCAAGTTGTCCGATACGAGCTGCACAATATTGCTGCAGAAGACAAGGTGAGCTCATCAAAACAAAGCTGCTTATTCACTGCATGGAAATGAATGTGTGTTAGTTTGAAGACTCACTCGTCTGAGGTAAATATGTAGCCAACGACGGACTTACAGCCAGCAAGGATGAACCCCTGGAACAAAGCCAGCATTCCTGTGGTGCAAAGAAAAGATATGACACTTTACAAATTGTTCAAGATTGGTGTTAAGAGATGCGCAATTATAATCATTATATGTGTTGGACATAACACAAGCAGTTTCCTTCCAGTAGGAATGTGTCCGAGCTGTTTAATTTAGAGTCTTTGAAAATGTCTTTTACTAACATTAATTCCACTTTTTGCCAATTTAAACCACAAACTATAATTATAAACTATAACTTTAGAGGTGTTCATGTGACAGACCAAAACAAAGCATCATTGAGTTAGCCATGGAGGATTTGTTTACACATTTCATAAATATACAGAAGATTGACAAAATCAAAGCAATAAGGAATCCAATTTGCAGTTTGCTGAAAGCCTTTCAAGGAACCCAAGAAATATGTAGCATAAATAAAAATCATACGTGACAGAAAACTACGACTAACACTCTGAATGCACCGCAGTAAAATATGGTGGTTGTAGCATCTTGTGGGGGTAGACACAGAAGAAACTGGTTAAAGTTGAAGAAGATGAAGCTGAACACTGAAAAACCCTTTAAATAAAGTTTCTTTATGAAGCATATTTCAGCAAAGAGGCAGTTCAAAGTGCTTTACATGACAAAAACATGATACAGTAACTTAATTATGTTGGGAACAGCAAACAAGCCGTATTGCTGAACTTGTGTTAAAATCCTCAAGAGCAATCATCATCAAATACACATCAAATGTATCAATCAATGGCTGATTACTTGTGCATGTCACATGTTTTTAAAGCAATGTATCAGATTCACTCATATTTAACTTATGAGTGCAAGCATTATGTATCTTCATACCTGAAACAACTAAGGCAACTTTGCAGGTGATTATGGCTCTTGATGTGTTGCCGGCTCCCAAAGCGTTCCCCACACGCACACAGGCTGCAGCGTGGATTCCTAAAGGAAACTGCAAGAAAGTACAAATTATTCAGTCAAGGTTAGGTTTGTAAATAAGACCCGGTTCTCAAACACTTATAATCATGATCATTCTTTCTAATAATGCGTACCATGTATGTTATGGCTCCTATTTCTACCATCAGATGCTGGGCAGCCAGGTCATCTTCTCCAAGCCAACCTAAGAATAAAAAAAAGTTTTGGGTTTGAGTATAACAGTTTTGGGAAAGTGCATGTCAGCAAGTACAACAAATATTACTGGACCGATGCAAAACTAAATCAATACGACATTCTTTCAATAAAAAGAATGTACAAAAAAAGACTAATTTCAGAATGATGCATTTACCTGACAAATTTACTCTGAAGAGTTAATATTTGTGCAAGTAAAGCATATTTCTAAATAAATAAATTGAGCCAATATGGTAAATTTATCTTTTTTTTTTGTTGAGTTTTATTCCATGAACAGACTTGTAATTGACAGATGTAGGTGTAAAATCAACATACAATGATTGAAATGTTATTTTTTCTTTTATTCTCTGTATGTATAAATCATATTACACATTAAGGATTTCCACAGGCTGGGAATCATTGTTCCATTCCAAGAAACCAACCAATTTACAGAAACCCTATCCAGTCTGCCAAGAAGATTTTGCAAATATCCCATCAAAATTATGATGCAATTGTGTAAAAGAAAAAAATACAACACATACCTGCAAGAAAACCTCCAACCTCCCAGACCCACCACTCAAAACAGATCATGAATGCACTGGGAACAGCCAGCTTCATGTAGGAACCCCAGCCCTGCAGACATTCAGTGGACCAACCTGCAAAGAGTTTTATCCAGGTTCTGAGTAAAAAGCATGACTCCATCAACCCAGATGAATATCTGTAATATTTTTAGTTTGTCAGGATCTTATATTTTAATTTTATGCATAAATTTTGATGAATAAAATTAACTAAACTGGAGGAAAATTTTGATTACATTAGAATAGTTTTTTTTTTTATGTAAATAGAAATCATATGTCACATCCCATAGAATCATCTGGAAAACAGTAGATAGTCAAACATTTTACCAGGAGGGAAACTATAAAATGTATCAATGGAAAGTTAGGCGAAAGGAAAAAATTAGGTAAAAAAGATGTATTAGCAATGATTATAACTGCAGCTTCTATACATTTCAGAAGTTGCCATTATTGTCCCTAAAATCTGTCATTTTGGTCGTTAGAATACCAAAGTTTCCACTTAACTTTACAATTTGGTCCATCTCATTGTGTTATTTTTAAATATTAAATGATTGATAATTTGATCAACCACTCGGTACTTGAGTAGACTTTTTACCAAATACTTTCTTACTCTTACTTGAGTAATTTCATGGATGGCTATTTTTTACTTTTACTTGAGTAAAAATATGCTGAAGTAGTTCTACTCTTACTTGAGTAAAAATTTTTTGGTTACTCTGTCCACCTCTGAGACTCCGTTGTGAATGCAAAGTCTCTATTAACAACTCAGCAGATCTACATGCTGATCACCTCCATGCCACATAACAAGGGTGCTATTCAGGCAAAATGTTGAAAAACATATGTTTCACTGTCTTTAATCCATAATCTTCAGAATTAACAGAAATAAACAATCCAAGAATATTTTTATGACAGTCTATTGATAAAAGAGCCTCTTGATCTTACCTCCCCATGTCTGCTTATAGAGCTTCTTCCACCTGATGTAGCCAAATAACAGAAGGCAAATGATGATCTGAGAGAGGCTGTTGGCAGCTGCTGATCCACTGCAAACACATGCACGACAGAATGGATTTATTTCTTAATCTGGTTTACGGCAGACGGTTAAAAGATGTAATTTTACAAGTGTATCTCTGCAGAACCATACAGAGGAAAAACATACACTGTGAATTGCACATAATGGAACAGTAAGATCATTCAATAGGCCCTTAGCAGGTGTTCCTGGTTGATATGGAGCAAGTGAAGAGTGGGGAGACATGACCCGAACAAGGAGGCCCGATTGGTCAAATTGCTGATGAATCAAATGTTTGTCCAGCTGGAATCTGGAATGAGCCGTAACATTTCTTTCTTGTCTGTTTTTGCCCTATTCTGACCCTTTCTCTCTAAATAAAGATCAAAAATAATAAACGTCAGTGAACTGCTGGCTCAGTCTGAACAAAAAACAAGTTACTCTTCAAAGACAAATCATAAGATAAAATGCAGGGAAATAATCTTCTTGACTGTATAAACCGATACCTTCCCTTTGTCTCTGACTTCCTGCTCTTTTGATGATATTGATTATTATGTATTTTATCTGTTCTGACTTCTAAGAGTTGATACCATATCAGTCGATACAAAGTCCATCAAAATTTCAAAGCCAGGAAATGTTAGGCATACTTACATTACACCCATCTTGAGCACAGAAATAAGAAGAAAATTGATCCCCAAGTTCAAAATGTTGGCTACTGCAGCCGTGTACATCTGAGGTAGAATGATTCCCTAATAAATACAAAAATATAGAAGTTATAATTAGAAAGGCAGTCTGCAGTGACAATGTTGAAACACTGGCTGGCCATAAAACTTGAAATGGAAGAGAAACATATCAAGAAATGTCACATTTATAAGAAAAATGTACATCAAAGAAATTATCCAACAAGATCAAATATTAGTGGATCATTTAGACAAATAAATCATAATGATCAAATCTGATAAACCAGTCAGGGAGGACATGTATGACACCATGAAGATAGGTAGCAAACTGGAAAGTTCAATAGAAAACCGTGGCACCAATAAACTAGGCAAACTAATAAAATCAGCAAAAGGATACAAAACAGGATCAGAGAAGAAATACAGTTAAACTGTCAAAACAGGTTGAAAGGTTTTTCCTTAACAAGTTTCTGCAAACTCAGACTTTGAGATATAAGGTAATTGAGCAGCAGGATACTTTTTCTGGGAATGTACCTGGTTTTGTAGATAAGAAACCTGCAGCTGATGCAAAAACATAGCCTGGAACAAAAAGAGACAAAAGTCAGTTTTTATATCTCACATATCTCTTGTTGTACAGTCTCTTTAAAACATTACAATTTTATGATAATATTGAGATCCTTGATTCTCAAATGTTTTATTTAGTGTTAAGTGCATAAGTAGGTCATATCAATAAAGCTCCCACAGTACTGTTTTAATGTCATATCTTAGAGTGAAATATGAAATAAAAAGTGGATCAACTTTGGAAAACTAAACATTCAAGAGTAAACTCTATGGGCAGATTATGATATTTTCACTCTTATAGGTTAATGTGCTTCAGGAGGTCATTGAGTGTCCTTTGTGTCCTCTCATATTTTTGTGGCGCCTCCAAATTGCGGTAGAGTTTTTAAATAAGACAAAATCAGTTGTTAAAAAGTTTTAAATTCATAGATGGCAAAAAGAGCTTGGTATACCGCGTCTTTCTTATTTTTGTTGAAAGCCAGCTATGATGATAACAGCTTAGCCCTCAGCATTGACTTTTCAAAAAGAAATTGTGTTTCTTATCCATCTCAGGGTGCAGTTGAATAATTACATTACTCAATTGCTGGATTATCTTAGTTCATTAGAAATGAGAATGAAAAGATAAACAGGAATGGCAGAACTATCAACCAAACACATTCCAACTATTCTAAGCTTTACTTTGTCTTTAAGCATGATCCTACAGCCATCATAAAAAGAAAATGCACCTCTCATTTCAGAAGATTCAATGTATGAATGAACTGGCTTTCACCTGATTCTACACATTTTTTTTTTTATAAATTTAGCATGGAGATTTGTATTCTTTTTTGTATGAAACCACACACCACAAACTCCTATATTCAGTTGCAGAAAAAGTAAGTACGCCCACAAAACTTTGGACACATGCAAATTGTGTGAAGCCCTACAATTTAAATAGTAAATGATTTATTTTTCCATTTCTAGTTCGAGAACTGTCGTAGCATTCTGTCACATCCAACTACAGGCTTCAGTGTTTTCATCTGGCATGTTGTGTGCTCGACCAGCACAAAGTAAGAATCTGTATTCAAACCTTTTTACTCAGGTGACAGGCAATAACATCAAGTACAATCCATTACCTTCGAAACACTATTAAGATATGGTCATCTACTTGTCAACCCAGGCAAAGATCATCGATCAGGAAAGCAGCTAAAGCCACATCTCTATTACCAGGTCCAACATGGTTCCTCCCCATTTTTCATAACCACCTCAAGCACGGTACAAGCCATGTATTACGCACAAGAATTTTTGCTGACTGCTGATTGGCCCGTGATTTACGTCACTAGATGAGCAAAGGCCGGACCTTTGAGACTCTTCAAACAACTACATCTCCACCATCATTTTCAAAGATGAGGCCGTAGTAGTTGACGAGATGGTGAGCTGCAAATGAATCATTCTACCGTCAAGCCTTCAGGTCCAAACCTTTTAATCTATTGTGGCAGAAGAGCACATACAACAAGCAACTCACAACAAACAAATATACAGAGAGATTGCTGGCACCCAAGGATACATGTCCAAAATTGCATCATCTGAGCTTCAACCACAATGTCAGATTCCCGCTCATGTTCTTACCCATATTCACTCTCACGTTTAGTGGCAATAAACTCAATTTGGCTAGAACCAAACCAGACATTAACCGGTTAGGTTGAGACTAGACAATGGAGAATGGGCTCAGGAGTCCCATGCTAAACCTGAAGGACCTGCAGGGATATTGTGGAAAACTAACACAGAGCGGCACAGAACTACAATTTTCCCACTGTGGAACATTTTTGGTAAAACTGTAGTTTTTAGTGCTTCTGTTGACTTGCTTTACTGACCATATACATACTTTTTAAATATGCATTTAGTTTATATTTAAATAGAAATAGACTAGTTTATTGTACTCACTGGAACAGCAGGAAGAAACGCCATCACGTACAGGTGGGCGATTCTGAAATGTTACAAAAGAAAAAATAAACTTTTGAACAAGTGCCATAAACAGTTATATTTTTGACTTTTCATACCCTGTTTCTGCAAAATGAAAATTGTGTTTTTAAAATCTTTATTGCAAATGTAGTAAATAAATTAAAGAGATAGAAATCTTCACTTGGAGTCTCACTAGATTTAGTCCACTGGTAAAGGCACACAGAAAGCTAAATAATAAACTGCTTAAAGATAATTTAGCTGTCAGTTTTACTGATAAGGATTCCAGCTTTGGCCTTGAAGATAAGCCTTTTTTTGTAGTTTATGTTCTGAATCACCGTTTCGCTCAGACAGAGTATAAAGATTTCAGAGCTGCAGGATATACCGGGCCACTTCGTGCTCTTGCTGAAGAAGGAGCAGTAAATTGTGGGAGTTGACAAGGAGAGCCCAACAAGGCAGACAAAACATGAGCAGGATCAGGGTGCTTTTCTGTAGAATAACTCCCACACGTTTCATGTTCCTGCTGCCATATGTCTGCAAAACAGAGACGTTTCAGTGGATTGTTTCAAGCACGATAAATCCCAGATGGAGCACTCGGATCACCTGAGAAATGAGAGTATCACACGCCATCGTCAGGCCATAGCCTGTTGCAGTTGTTGTCACGTTGATCGTCTAAAGCAACAGACAACAAAACTCAGTTATGAGACGTTTCACATTAAATCTGAGATTCACACAAATATCTAGATTTTGCCTACAATTAAAAGATGTTTTGTTATCAACTTTGCAAACTAGGTTTAAGCTTAATACAAATTAGTCAGAGGTGAATAGGTCTTAAGAATGCACGTACTTACAATAAATCTGGAAAGTCTTATAAACTAAAGATCTTCTCTTTTAAATTGTTTTCTTATATTTTAAAAAAGTTACATGCCTCTAGGGCTGTGAAGCTGGGGTGACTGGAGTATTGGGGAACTAGAAAAATTATAGGCATGAGCATCACTGCTGCAACTGCAACCTTTAACCCTGTCATCATTCAGACCCTTGTCAGATTTAAATTCAGACTAATTCTGGTTTATCCATTAATTTGTTTGATAGGAATTTAGAAATACATTCCCACCACCCCAAAAAAAAAAAAAAATCTAGATTGGATATAATTTTTCCAAAAGAGGCATGTCAGCAATTATTTATACAATTCTCAATAGATCGAGTAAAAGGACTACATTACCAGCGCTCAGCTGTTTGCCTGTCTCCACTGATACTATGACCGTTGCAGAGAGGTCATTGAGTCCAAAAGATCTCCATGCCATAACCCTAATGCTTAGGTCTCTTTACAGGTACTTTGTCAGATTTAAGTCAGGATTCTGACTGAGTTATTCCAATAATAAATGTTATTTTAACCTGAAGAAACATGTTGGTAGGATTAAAAGATTACTTCAAACTTAAATTTTAATTATTCTGAGCTCAACTAAGTCTGAAATGTGTGTATCTACCCTTGCACAGATGTTGATAGAAGCCAGTTAATGACTGCCAATGGAAAGTTTGACAGACTGGAGACAGGAAGATACTGTACATGCAACCGTGAACCAGGATCAATTGTGTTTCTTTTACTATTTTAATTTGTCAATTTAATTGCCTTCTTTTTTCTGCTGTTTTGGATCTTTTTTTAATGTGTTATCCAAATCACGTTCCGCCACTGACACGTCGTATTTTGTACGTCTAACATACAAACACTTGGAGATCAAGAAACCCAACAGTATTCTGGCGACAATAATACATAACTCAGTACAAATTTATTAACAATTAACATTTTTGCAGTAGATCAACAGGGACATCAAAATGAACCGCAATAAAATATTCTTACATGAATGATGCATTACTTTCTCTACATCACATGCAAATTTAAACCTGACCAGCATAGTCTATCTGCCATATACCACATTGAGCTTTGTAGCCATTTAAACTCATTTGAGAAAATATTTCAGAAAGAATGGTTTAAAAAGAAGTTCAAATTATTTTTTTTAATTGAAGCAAAGTATAAGCTGGTGTCTTTTCTTCACTAGACTATTTTCATATGTTAAAAGTGCTATGTAATTCCACATATTAAGAACAAAATGATGTTTTGAAACATTAAAAAAACCAGTCAGGCAAAACATCATGACCACTTTTTGCTGCCAAAGCAGCCTTAACATCTCAAAGAGGTGGAGTTAACCAGACCTCTAAAGGTGCACTGTGGTATCTGGCACTAAGATGTTAACAGCTGATCCTGCAAGTTGCAAAGTGGGGCCTCCACTGATCAGCCTTGTAATCTGTGAAGCCCCTTGATCCATTAGATGGAGTTCTGGTGAATTTGCCTAAGTCCATACATTAAAGTCTTTGTGCTTCTCAAGCTAATCTTAAATCATTGTTGTTTTGAAGCATTGCTGCTTTATGAGTGGAAAGAGAACCTTCAGGGAAAATGTTTGGCCACTAGCATTGATTAGGAAGGTCATAAATGCCAAAGTAATACTAATTTGCTCGTTTGCTTTCTTTCCCATAATGCATTCAGGTGTCCTGTGTTGCCCAGCTTTGTTAAAAGTTTTTGGACCTTTTAACAATTTTTTTATCATCAAACCTCTGAATGATCACTCTATGAATATTGACTAAACCTTATTTTTGTAAATAAATGACATAAACTGACTCTTTCTTTTGAGGAGCTTGAACAGCTCTGCAAAACTTCTCGAGAACTTTCACAAGTGTGGAAAACATCATTGCTTGCATTAAAGCCCCCTTATGTCCTACAATAAAACTGAAATCGCATTTCTCAACTTCACTAGAAAACAAGTCTTGATCAAAACAAATAAAGAAAGTGAATGAACTAGAACTAAAAAAATAAGCATAATTTTCTAAGCTTTATTTGATGACAGTTTGAATCCTGTCAATAAAAAGATGCGTTCTGTCAAGAACAATTCAACAATTCAAATAACAATTCAAACACCTGTCGTATTTTCTAATCACCTAACACACACAGTGATGCACACGCAAACTTTATGGCATTGTTAATCTGCAAAAGAACAATTTCATACCGCTGAGGCAAGGGCATATCCAGCCAACTCTGCATTTCCAATGTGACCGCAAAAAATGGTGATAACAAACGGCAGGAGAAAGTTCAGAATCCGGGACAGCAGCTGTTGAAACACAGTTTGGACTGATTTAGCAACTACCACTAACTGCATCCAGGCAACTAAAAAGTAAAGACGTTAGATAGCAATTCATGTGAAATTAGCAGCCATGGGCTAATTATGCCTAAGCAGAAGCATTTCTTTTTACTTTTAGCACACATAAAATGTTCAGAAATGATTACACTATTAAATTGGGTTATGAACAGCACATCACACAGTAAATCAAATTAAGTCATTCCGATCGCAGCGTTTTGCAGATTAAAGAGCAACACTTCAGTTTCCGTCTACTCACCAGGGGGCCTGTGAGTCGTAAGACGTGATAAAGTTCCTCTCTGTAGGCCAAAGGCAGCCAACGCTTCACACACGCACACCAAAACAGCTTGGAGCTGGCAAATGTTGCCCCCTCATCCACAGGAGGCGCTTCCATCTTGGCAGCATGAACCCCAGCAATGGGTTCTGCTCCCTGCAAGGGGGGTGCAGGTTCCAGAGAACCCGGCCTCTCCATTCAAGCGCAGGGAGAGAAGACAGGACAGGAAAGAAAAGCTGCAGAGCAACAGAAGGAGGGAGTGAGGGAGGGAAAGAGGGCAATGGCAGGGAGGGAGAGGGGGGCAAGAGAGTTGGCCTATGTGTTCAGCACATGCACTGTTTTTAAGTTATTGATTGCATCACACTGTTTGAAGGAGGAACAAAAGAGCAGAGAAATTAATAAAAAACAGGTGACAGGTTAGTTAATGATGACTGATTACATATTTCTTGTTCATTTTACAGACAAACAAAAATGACAACAACAAGACTGTAAAGTCATGTGAACTCTGTGTCTGCCCTTCAGGTTTACGCCACTGACGGAGGGGTTTGTCGGAGGCGGGTTATTGTTGGGGGGCAATGAGAAGTGGATAAATGTTTGAGTTGGATATACACAGTGAGAAAGCGCCTGCTTTCAAAGCGCCTGTGTGGGTTTGTATGAGTGGTCTCTGAGCCCTCTGCAGTAATCTGATGAGGAATGCTTGTTTGTTGCTCATATGCAAGAAGCTACATTGACCAACTGCAAGCTAAATCATATTTGTGTTTTTACATTTTAGTCTTATTTCAATTTTATTTTTTACACATGCATTAGACACTGATCTTATCTCATGCCAAGTGTACTTTGCCCACTATGCCTGCGTTCTCCCTCCTCCTGTAATTTTGACACAAAGAAACCGAGTCACATGAACACTCAAACTTGCTCTTATCCATGTTTGCTGACTCAGCTCTGAAACTTAACATAAACATTTAAATGTTACTTTATGTGATGCTGATGAACAACTTGATTCAGTCATGGAGCATATAGATTTATTGTAGGTTTAATGTAATTTTATTGCAGGCTTAATGTAATTTTTATTAATATATTACTGTAATTTTATTAGTGTTAGTATCATTTCTTTAAAATAGCACAGTAATTATAGAACATGGTTACTGTGATTTCATCACATTTTTATCATAATAAAATTACAGTACTCCTGTAGTACAATCACAAAAAGTTGCCATTTTACAGCAGTTCAGAAACTGCATTCTTTCCTAGCTTTTAAAAGTTGAAATGTGAACTTGCCACTTAATTTACAAAACTCTCAGAAAAAAATGCTATTCTTCTAGTTAAAAAAATATATACATGTATATTTTAAAATTGCTTTATTTGATTGTCAATTTCAATCTGACAAACTGAGGCAAAACAAAGTATAGTATTTTGCAACAGCAATATTTGCTTGTTACATAAGAAGTCGAAGTATTGCAACCAAAGTGAAAAATACTCTGATCTAAAAACATAGTTGATACATCTACAGTTATGACAATAATTGTAGAACACATGCATTTAGATGTTTCAACATGAGATGTTTCTTCCAGTACAATTATAAAAAAAACTGTGTAATTTGTGTTTTCTGGAGCTGCATACTCTGTGTAAACTCTCCTTTGCTGCAAAGAATACATTCACAGACAGTTTTCTTTGGTTTCAGAACTCAAATTAAAAATTCTACAATGAGTTAAAGATTTGTTTGTACAGTATGTGCACAGGTTGCAAGCACACCAGTTGTGCAATCTAACATAAAGAGAACATTTTTCTCAGGCCAGTGGATGTGTTGAAATTGCAGTTGATCTTTGACCTGTGATGAAATTAGGTAGAGAGATTTCCTGAAATGAGAAAAGTTGAGCTTGTGATGGCATAAGGGAACACAAAGACATTTAAAACATAGGAAACTAATAAATTGGGCACACATGCTCATGAACATCACAATGAAGGGCTTTGGACTTTTATTAAAAATAATTTAAGCTGGTAGAAGTTTAATAACTTCTTCTTTTTGATTAGACAGAGAAAAAAAAAACACAAAAGGTGACTTTGTATCTATGCATATATCCTAATCTATATTTTTCCTTTTTTAGTTAAATATATTTCTGGAAATAGATGTACAGGAATAATCTCTTTCAGAGTTGGCCAATGCTTCACCCTAGTGGGTAAGCTAGAAAAAGCTCAAACATTTACCACCAGCACTCATAAAAACGCATTTCAGTTCTGTCCGTTATGTAGAACAGATAATGACAACAGTTTGTATTATTTAAAACTCCATTCAGCTGAAGGACAATAAATTCAACATGCGACTTAAGGGATTCGGTTGTAAGAAAATACTCTTGTTTGGTTTTTCAATTTAGAACATGTCATTATTTTCAGATTGTAAAAATAATTGACGTAGAAAAACATCTTGCTGTCAGTGAAGTTGACCAACAACGAGTCAGTTAAGTGATTAAGAAAAAGCCCCTTAAGGAGTTTTCAGTAGTTCATAAGGAAACAAGAAAGTAGCTTGTAGGATTCAAACCAATTTCAAGCTTTATCTTGTGAATGTGATTCTTGAATTCACAAATCTCTATGATTGATTCATTTGAGTTGAACCACAAATCAACAGTTTCTCACTTCTTGCACAGACTTCCCCGCAAATAATCATTACCCAGTTAGCACAGAGTAATGTTGCTGTGAATGTGTTGTTAGCTGCTGCTCTTCTAAAGAAGTTTTAGTTTTCAACAATCCAATCAAACAATGGGAAAAGCAGGTATGTTGACTCAGCTGTGTAACTTTACAGTTCACAATAATTTAAGTTCTGATTGACTGATGATGGTTGTGTTGGTCCTTCGTAAGTAGATAAAGGAGAACAAAGAGAATGCTCTGCTTCATGGACTTCTGTTAAAATGAAGACAAAGTTGGAGTTGAAACTAGAAAAAAATTGTCTAAGAAGTTGAAAGCTAAATATTTCCTCAAGTATTGAACATTTCAGATAATCTTGAAATGGAATCAGCTGAAAACATTCAAGACTGAAAAAATAATTGTATAATGTTTTATTATGATGGTTTTTGAACAAATTATACATTAGCAAAGTACAACAGCACAGACTTTCAACTGTTAAATTGAATTTTGTGCATAATTATTTGCATAAATTGCATAAAATCTTGAATGATTTTTATAAAATGTGTTCAGTAATGATCTCTGTTCCTGGTGTGACTGTTAACTTCTTTTGTTTTTAAAAATAGGTTAGTCATTTTCTTTATCTTTACACTTTCTTGTAAAAAAAAAAATATATATATATATATATATATATATATATATATATATATATATATATATATATATATATATATATATTCGCAAACATATACTAACTGGTAAACCTGATCAATTTATTTTTAACGTGTATCAAATCAGAAAGGTGATGAAATAGCAGGCCCCCAAAATTGCACACTAACAGATTGAGGGTTGTGGGAGCAATGTGTCATTGTCTGGATTTGAGGTGCATTCAGCTTGTAGGGTGAGGATTTGGCTCTACCAACGGGAGCGCATTGATTTATCATGCCTTTATCAGTCGTTTGGGGGATACTTTCTTTGCAAACGGTTTAAGCATCACAACTGCCCTGGATGTTGCTGCTAAACATTTCCACCCCTTTATGACCACAATGTATCCATTTTTCTAAGGGAACATTCTTCAGAAAGTCCACCATGTCAAAAAGATCAAATGATCACAATCAGGATTTCTTGAAAATTATGAGTTTGTTCATAGTCACCAGATATCAATACAACAGAGCACATTTAGAATGTGTGCATCCAACAAACAGGTGTGACGCTGCTATCATGTCAACATGGACCGAAATCTGATCAATTTTCTTACATCTTGTTTCAAAATGGTTCTTTTAGATTTGGATGAGGTCCATCCATCTAAAAATGGTGCTCTTTTATGAAATGCCGCTCTTTTACTGCTGTTTTGCTATATATGACTTTTTCCTCTGGTGAAGAATCCTGAAATGTAAAAGTGTAGAAAATTGTGGCTCTCAAGAGCCTCCACTTGACTTCTTTTGACACTCGGAGGTATTAGAGGATGTACCACATAATTAAATTGTCCAGATGCTGTCGCATGCACCGCTCTGCAGTGGTATTCAGAAGAAGTTAAGATTGCAGTTCACCACCAGCTGAATAGTGGGAACTATTCATATATCAAAGAGACCTGGTAAAAGACTTGAAACTAATTGAGAATCAGTGAAAAACTGATGTTTAGACTCACTCTCCATCCAAACTGATTCATTTTTCTTCTAATGTCAGAAAAAGAATGGACAGAAAATTCAGTTTCTATGTGCAAAGTTGGTAGAGATATGAAGCAGGCAGCAGGCTCCACACGTCTCAGGAGTCTCAGGTGTTGCATAACACCATGCCAGATCCACTGCACTGATTTATTTATGCTGGAAAACTAAAGGAAAACCTCAGATCTTTGCTTACACCAAATTATCAGAGTTTAACTACAAAAAAACACAAAATCAGTCAACAAGTAATAATTCCCCAGATATTACTCCATTTGTCCCTCCGTCACAGTTTCTGTGGTTTTGTGTTATTTCCATCAAAGGTTATGAAAAAAGAAAAACATTTTGTTGTCTTCATGTTTTTATTTGTATCCTTTCAAAGCTAATCTCTACATGGAGTCATAAGGAAACATCAAAGCCCTAAAAACAGGAATAAAAACAGTCTTGTAAAATGTGACCCCTCCATCCACACCCACCAGGTTTTAGTGCAACTTTAATGGCCATTGCCAATAAAAAGATTCCTTGTGTTTGCACATTATAACAGCATGACAATAAAACGAGGAATGGAATAAAATCAGGGGTGGAAGGACCGACAGGGTGTTGCCAGGAACAGGTAAATAAAACCCGAAGAGAAAAAAATGTTATTTTGGGGCGAGAAGTTGTAAAAGTGCCCTGTTGGGCCGTTTAAGAGCGGCTGAGGATTCAGACCGGCTTTCATATGCTCACATTCACAACGCTGATCACAGCAGGGAAGCCTCTGACAAATAAGATAACAAACAGAAAGTTAAAGGTGAGTAAATCTCTTTTATTTAATTTTTTAATTTTTCTTACAAAATACCACTTAGATTGGAAGATTTAAAACTTTATTTGCTTTTTCCACTTAATTTATCAATAAATTCTCATTGTGGTGAGAAAACCTTATCTTGTTTTTCCATGACAAGCCACAGTTATGCCAAAGATCAAACATGTTACATTGATTTTGTTTTTCAGTTTAAAAAGAAGTAGGATATTCAAATGATACACTTTGAAAAGAAAACATGTTTCCCAATCGGTTAAATAAAATATGCATTGGTAGTTGATATCTATTTGCCCTTATGCTTTAAAAGAACAGGTGAATTGATGCTCACATAGAAAAAAACTATGTTAAATAGTTACATTAAGTCTTTTATACACTATTGGTAGTGCCTGCATTGTTTAAAGTAATTTACCTTTCTTCATGATGGCAAAATTCTTGTTGTATCATAGGTTGGCATGCTAACAGTTATTTTCCATTGCACCTGGAAATAAAAGCATTAATTTCTTTTGTGGATTATGTTACAATTTAAATTGAGATGGAACCAAAGCTGATCCAAGCTGTCATAAGGGTTTTTAGACTGATAAAAGTCATTAAAAAAGAAATCACCAACAAATACAGAAAGATTTTAAACTTTAAACACATAGTTTGGGTGTTTATACAAATATCATTTATTTATTTAGGTTTATCTGAGAAGACCATCAAAATGAAGTTAATGGTCGGTATCACGCTTTTATTTTTGCTGCCCTTCTGTGCAAGCCAAACTTCAGGTAAGCTTCACATCTTTACATACATAAAACATTTGTTCCCTCCTTCTTGGTTTTCAACTTATCATTCTTTCTGTATTTGATGCATGAAACCCCTCACTTCTCTCTTCTTTCCAAGTCCACATTGACTCCACTCCCAAACCAAGCACTGATGGTGTGATCCAGACTACGACTCAATCGAACGTGTCTCTGGTTTGTATCCTTACTGGCGCTCCCAAAGATGAGGAGTTGGTATGGCTGAGGAATGGTGCTATGGTGAAACTGAATGATGAAAACAAGCAGAGTGGTAGCAGCGTGTGCATCAGTCCTGTTATCCAAAAGGATGAAGGTGCCACGTTCACCTGTCAACTGAAGAGCAATTCCTCCCATTCGGCCTCAGTCACCCTCAACGTCACATGTGAGTCAAATTAAAGGATTTTTATAGTACAATATTAGTAGTAATCATGAGGTGTACTTAGAAAATAAGTGTTAGAGATTAAAATGTTGAGATTATTTTAACATCTTGGTTCATTCTAGTATGATATAATAAGGATTCAACTTTGCTTTTGACTTTTGAAGGTCTTTGTGTTAAACACGGTTTCAGTTGAAAATATTTTTAACACAGTTTTTCCTCATAAAATTATTAATTGCTATTTTTATCTATGGAACACCAGGAAGTCACTTTACTATCTGTGTAGATTTTCATCAAGTGTAGTTGTCTAAGAGCTAAACTAAAACACATAAAAGATAAAAGTTTGTTGCAGATTGAATGAGACTTTAAACTATGAGAAATCGAAAGAAATTACCCCAATATTATTTTGTAGACTGAAAATGATTGTGGTTCTTAGTTTTGATGCATTTAATAAAACTGTGGGAAAAAAAGATTTTCAGTATTTGACATGAGACGTTCAAGACAAAATTGGCCATTTTCAATCTCAGGACAGTTAACTATTTCTAAAAAAAGAATCAATCTTCTGACTCCTAAAACAAATCTAAAAGAAACAATTTATGGCTGATGCATCTACTGTTAAACTAATGTTACTTATATTATAGATGTCATTTTTATGGACATCTCAAAATCTGTCACTCTTTCATTGTTTAATTGTAAAAATAGGAACCCACATTAAAAATTTAATTCCTGTAAAAACAAAATTCACAATTCAGTGTTCTTTTAATTTTTGTTCCTGGAAAACCTGATTCCCCTTATTAAATACAATATATAAACATAAATGGTATTTCTTGCTGAAGAAAGAATTGGGACACCCAACCTCCTAATAGCTTGTTTAACTTGCTTTGGTTGAAATTACTTCATTAATTTTCCTTCTTACACACTTTGTATTGACTGTAAAGGTGTGTAGTTTTACTTTAACAGTAGCAGGATTGTGCTGTACTCTTAGAGGTATTTTAGGATTTTTGGGGGGTTCTTCTATTATCTATTGGTCTATACAACATGTTAGATTTAAGCATTTTATGATTGTTTATGAAGAAGCAAAGAACAAAATGGCACTGCGCAGAAGCCATGCCCAAAACAGCAAGAAAAGCATAAAGGAGCTTTTGTTGTTATTGTCATTATTTGATGTTGCCATCATGCGACCCTGTGATTCCAATTCAAAGTAAAATCAGAAAAAGATGTCCTAAAGATGCAGCTGATTGCTGGAATCGGATGAACGTCACAACCCTATTGAGTCTGAGCTAATTCCCTGCACCAAATGTTCAGAAGCATGTTAAACCTGCTCATTTGTTTTAGTCTCAATAATTTTTCTTAAATTTTGCTCAGATTGCCCAGATGTCTCTGGTTCAGAGGAAGTTACTCTGGAAGAGGAGGAATCCCTGAACCTGCAATGTGACATGAAGGCCAACCCTTTGGTAACGTCAGTGTCGTGGAAACTAAACGGAACCATGGTGGATCTATCGACAGGTGGCTTCATTATAAGCAACGACGGTATTAACACCAAGCTATATGTCAAGAAAGCAGACAGAAGCATGCATGAAGGCGAGTACCAGTGCACAGTAACCTCCCCCATCTGTGAATCTCTGAGCAAGACTTTCCAAGTCACTGTCACAGGTAAGTTCCCCCACTGAGTGCTTTAAATGTTTACAGAAACAAGCTACATAAATAATACCAGTGCTAATCTGATTTAATTTGTCTTTGTCCACAGATAAGACCATAAAGTTCCCACTGATGCCAATGATTGCGGGGCTGGTGGTGGTGGGTCTCACAGCTCTTCTTGCCATAGTTTCACGATGGAGGATGATTGCACGGGTAACTCACTCAAACAAGCTCAAACTTTAATCATTCGATTCTTTCAGTATAAACTTCTTAAAGAGTTTCATTCTCCTTCAACAGTGCTTCAAATAAGTGATCCAAAAGAACCTGGTCCTCTGCATTGTCATGAAGTGAGACCATCGATGAAGCCTTCTGCGTGGTGCAAGAGATTTTGATCACCCAGTGATATGGCTTTTTTTCATTTAATTTCTTACATTTTGGACTTTACCCGAAGCTAGACGCTCTCCCCACCTAATAAGTAAACAAATAAATGAAATAATTGTGTTTCCAAGAAGAACTGAACATATAAGCCAGTATGTTTTAAATGGTATTAATTATTTTAGTTTAATTTTAGTAGATTCAAACAAGATTTGTTATTCCATCGTGTTTCCATTATTTTCTTTTTAGTTCAGGCTACAATCATCACATTGTTCTCTTGTTTGTGGGGAAGACAGAAGAGTTGGCTTTCCCACACTCACAGTTCAATAAGCATTTTTCCTGTGCTAAATATTCAAATGTATGTCAAAATCTGACAAATGTACAAACTTGTGTATACTGTAAGAAACATAGGAAACACACTGTAATGAGGGATTTCAGAATTATGTAACGAGGCATTATATGCAGAATAACCTGCTATCACAGAATAAATAAACCTATTTATCTGTTCCAGAAAGAAAAAACTAAATTATTCACAAATACAATTTAAGTTGAACAATATCAAAAGAAATACAATGTAAATATAGAGTTAGCAGAGAAAGAAAGGATTTAAATTACCGTAAGTTAAGATGAATGATTTTATGTTTGATGCTTAGTTAAAAAAACAAAATTCAAAATCAAGTTTTTTTAAATTTTGGTTTGGAATTAAACTGGGTTTTTTCATTCTAGCTTAGTGGTAATATTGACAACTTCTGATGTTAGCAATGATTCAATACAAATTTCATATCTTGACCTGTTTTTTAGGGTTGATTGAGCATAATACATAACAAGAAAGCTACTTCCAAAAAATTACAAATCTTTGTAATTCAATACTGTTTTCAAAAAAATTAACCCTTTTTATTTTGTAAATGCAGGAAAAGCATTTAACGGTAAAAGTTTTCTCTTTAAACACTAAGCACTTTTTTGAATTCTTAAATATTTAACTTGTTTATCAATGCAAATGTGTATTTAATATTGCTTGTTGTAGTCAGTAGTCATCATATTTATGTATAGTCGAATAACGTATAAGTAGAAGTACTCGTATTTCTTTTTTGTACAAACTATAGACAGAAATCAGTGATTCTCAAGAAGCAATGCTATCAGCTAAAAGTCAAAAATCAGTAGCTCTCTAAATGTTCAGATAACTATTTTAAAGCCTCACCTCGTGTAATAACATCCGGATTTTATTCAACCAGCATAATATATTTTGGTGTCTTGTAAAGCATTATTTTTGTATCTAATTTCTTTGAGGTCCACATGTCCACTGAACTTTAGCTCCTGACTCAACAATAAAGCCCAGGCTTGTTAAAATCATGTTATACATTTACTCTTAATGTGGCAAAAGGACAGGGATTATGAGGTTGGGTGGTTCAAGGTCTGGATCTTTGAGTTCCTGTCCAGGAACAAACACTCTGGAGGCTTACATGAAAGAAGGCAACACCAGCTGCTCTGATGTAAACCACATGTTGATTAAATAAACAAAACTAATACGTATTTGCTGTGTGATATGAAACTTTTTTGTGACAGGTGAATATCATATTATTTTAGAATTTAGTAAGACACAGAGTTGAAGAATAAATCTCTCACAGGAAAGCCTCAAAGAGTCACAGCCATGTTTAAAAACAGCAGAAGAGAAACTCTTCATGATGCGTATGAAGACCTTGAGAAACAGATTTTTACCCTCTGCCACATGGCTGCCAAATCGCTTCGACCCTTGAAAGCATTTCTCACACAGGTTTAAAGTGGCATCTGCCAATCACTTTACCTTCAGACCTGTTTGTGGAAATATGATTCACGTTTTAGTGTGAACAAACAAGCGCAAAAAAATCTAAAAATATAATACAAGCATCACATGACCAACAAGAAGGGCTACTGCCAACAGGGCATTTTTGAAAAAACATTACATTGTAATAGTACAAGGTAGATTAGAGGTATCAAAGTAATCATAGACATCAAGGTCCTTTAAGGAACACTGACATCTGACTGCATTCTGTAGTTTCTGATCAAGTTAAATAGTTGAAAATGTCATTTGGTGATGATATCAGTTATATCAACACTTGGGTTTTAAAAAAATATTTCAACATAAAACCTTTATTTATTTGTTATTGCTATTTTTTTATTTAAGAAAAAAGAAATGACTTCTAAATAAAAGCTATTCTCTGGTTTTATTGAATCTCACTGGTTTAAGTGTAATTTACATTTAAAGCAACATATGTATGTCTCTTTAATTCCAACATGGCAAATCAACCTTAGTCCAACTATGTTATGATGTTCATTTTCTGAAATGTTATTTTTACAAGATGGAAATGCACGCTTTTTGGAAGGTTTTGCCTCGAATACTGTTCTCTAATATCCTGGATATAATCAAGATGTTTTTGGTAAATATGAAACAGGCTTTCAGTTATTTCAATAGTGATTTTTTTTTTAATCTTGGATTTGTGTACAGCCTATTTCTTATTTTTAAATTGTGAACACTGAACTTAACTTAGGCAAGTCAGCAGCATTTAGATAAGTCTTGATTCAGATGGTCAGGTAATAACCAGACCTGGGTGTTGCTGGTAGAATCTTTTATATTCATGTAATTACAATTTTTATTAATATTTTGAACATAATGTCATATAAAACACAAACAGAAATAAAAACAAAAAAGCTGATGCATGACCACACCCCAAAATTGTTGACAAATTTTTAACTTTTCAAGAAAGAGATGTTTTTCATAAAGTAATTTTCATCGATTGATTCATGATTTAATCCTCTCCAGGCAGATGTTGCAGGTTTGCAACAACTAAGTGCTACTTAGCTAGTCTTTGCAAGTAATTTGAGCCTGAGAGGGTTAACAAGAGGGTGTTGTTTACAATTTCATTGGAGGCCAGATTATTTTTTAATGCTATATCTTTAAACAGTAAAATGAGAATTTGAAAACTGCTTGGTGCATTTTCTTGGGTTCTCTTGTATTGATGTTATTCTAGTTGTTGTTTTTAATCATCAGTTTGAACATCTGAAACAAAAAAAAGCAAAAACCAGAAGGAAAATTCTCCTTCACAACAGAATGTTATTCGTCAGTTCTATATTAATATTTTTATCCTCTTCAAAAACATTTGCACTATTTATGTCTTGTAAAGAACAATAATTTTTTTCACCAATATGAAAAGTGAAAAAGGTATACATTAATTATTGGACATTGTCAACATTATAATTAAGAAAAATATTTTGTGGCAGTACATATTTTGTGATTTTGTATCTCTACTCAGTATTTGAATTTTTAAAATATCCATCTTAGTATACAAGAATTTTCGCAAGAATGTTTGCAGAAATATTACTCCTGTTTTCCACCCATTGCATATTAGTTTTCAAACTTATTCTAAATTACTAACACTAGGAGAATTAAAGATAAAACCATATGGCTCAACCAGTTTCCAATAATATCTTGCACTCTCGTTATTTTAAAACTCTTCCAAATTAAAAAGAAATATGAAAGCTATGTTGATTTAAACATCCATAAAAAGATAACTGCAGGAAAAGCAAAGCATAAAACAATAAAACCATAAAATAATTTTTAAAAAAGATAGTAAAACACAATAAAACAGAAAGGGTGAGTCAGAATAAAAGTATTAAAATCTTACCAAACAAATTGGCAGATAAACATTCTTTCCCACTCTTTAAAAAAAATGTGACCAACGCAACGTGCTACGTCATCGCGCAGCGTGAAGAGCGTGGTGATGTGGTTAACACGCTGTGGTCCACCGCCAAATTCAAATTGTAAGGAAAAAAAGGGGGAGAAAGGGAGCAGCTGCAGCAGAGGACCGACGATTATCACAAGTATCTGTTTGGGGTGAGTTATTTACGCCGTGAAAATACACTTTTCCTTCTTTTCTCACTTTTAAAAGTTGCCTCTAGTCGTAGCATGAGTTGTTATTATTATGATTGACTGCGTTTTCACAGAAAACGGGGTCGCTTTATAAAATGAAGATCACAAACAAATCCCTCAATGTTAAATCCACTGTGTTGCTTTTAACCCTGACGCGCGGTTGCTAAGGGATGTGAAGAGTTTGTAACTTTTAACGTAAAGCAGAACGTTGAGTCTTTGTTTGGAAAGCAGTTACTGGAGTTAAACAGGGCAGGGCAGGCTGCACAGCAACACGCATTGTTTCAGACACACGGTCTGAAACGACAAAAGAAAGTGAGGCTCACTAACATGATCATCGCTGCTTAATTGTGAAGGTGGTTACTGGACATTTTTCACACTTCTTGACAGTTTTTCTTTGAAAATTCCTTTGAAAAATAAAACATTTGTAGATAAAATGGTCTAAAAAGTGTTCTACCTTCTGTTTTCCTTTTTGTTTACTTATTTGTGCTGCATTCAAAGTAATGCAGCAATTTCCTTCGCATGTTTTCCATCTCCCACTAATTTGGGTTTCTGGAAAATATTCTTGGTGTGAAAAACTTATCTGAACTGTTTAACCACCCAAATCAAGATTGGCTATCACCCTGATCGAGCCTTTCCTATCAATTGGAGATATTTGGTTTAAGCTGTTTGTTGATAAATTCAAGGACTGAAGATAGTTGGAATTCTTAGTTTCCTGATTGTCATGAAAAGAAAATTAGTAGGATGTGTTTTTTAGGATTGACCTACCAGTCAATAACCACACACAAAATATGGATGGGTTTGGAAGAGCTGTGGTTGGAGTCTGGCGGGCGCACACAGTCCTGGATGAATCTGATGGAGCAGAGAGCTCCCCAGAAGTTCCTGATCGTTTCCGTAAGATGCCTTCCTCATCCTCCCTTGGCTCCCTGCGGATGTCCTTGCGGAAGCGGCTGCCGCTCCGGTCAGTTCAGGCAAATTCCTTCCCAGAAACATCGACCACAGAAGTCCAGAAGCAGCAGCCCAAACCCAGCACAGCCCGCAAGCTCTCCCGCAGTGCCAGGAACTCCATCAGCGAAATGTGTCAGGTGAGTGGCTTGCATCACAGCTTGCCCTCTGTGTACATTATGCATGAAGTTAAGTGGCTTTGTTTAATTGCCTCAGAGGTTTCAAAGGGCCAGAGAGTTTTCTCGTGAGGAGTGCTTGGTGGCCACCCCGGGTCGAGACCCAGAAATTGCAGGTGCATCATCTTGCACTCCGCAGCGTACTCCTCGTCGAGCTGCAACACCCAGACGCACCCCTCGATCTGCTGCCAAACCCGGCCGCACGCCGGGGTCCAGAGAACGAAAGACCCCTGAAGCCTCTGTACGTGGGGTGAAAACGGGGAGAGGCAGGAGGCAGCTGGTCCGAATGGCTGCACTGCGAAGTCCCTTTTCTTCCCCAAACACAGAGAACCAGAGAATGTGAGTTACATAGTTGACCTTTGGGGATTCTTTTTGAATGCTTTATTACTTAGTCCTGATTTTAAACCCTTTTTTGTACTTTTGTCACTTGTTTTTTTTTTTTTTTTTTCTCAGAAAATTTGACAAAGATTTGGAGTCTGTTTCCAGTGGAATCAGAAGGCTCAAACATCTGTCCAAGGCTTTTGAGGACATAATTCGAAGAGAGGACAGGTAAAGTTATGTTTCTCCTAAATGGGTGTTTTTATTTAGTTTTGTTTCTTTTAGCAAGTAATTTTTTTATGATATAGTAAAGAACATTTGATAAAGAAAGTTTCCTCTTGTATCTGTCTGAGAAGTGTCAAAGGGTTGTTGAGGCGGGTCTGGAATCCAGTTCAGATTGTAAGTCTCCAGGTTTCCTCCCCTTCACCCGCCCCCTCAACATTCTTCCCGCCTCAGTTTGAAACAGTGCCTCTGTTTCTGGTATTCGGATAAGTGGGGGTGCTGGGCGTGGGAAATTGGAGCCAGATGAAATGACAAAAATGTGGGTGCCTCTTTTTTTTCCATCACTTCCTGTGTTGACATTCAAAATCCAAACGCAGCGTCCAACACTGTTAAAGGCGGAGACACATGAACAGTGAGCTTGTGTGATATCTGTTCAGGATACATGCCTCTATGGGTGATCCTCACTGTAAAAAAGAAAATGCATATTTAGAAGTATATTTCTCTACAGGGAGCTCACACATCCCCTGATTGTGGAGTAGGACCCAAGGTAACTCAACTCCTGGAAAGTTGTTTAACCAAACCTGAAAACTGTTACTAATTTCAGCATGAAAATGCATGATGGTGCCCCTCCTCATGCCTATCTGTGTGGCTGCACAAACTAAGCCTTGAAAATCTAACATTCTAACAGTTTGACATTTAATGAATAACTCACTGGTCAAGCAAGGAATGTTTGTGTTTTGTTTTTTGTTTTTTTGTCACGTTGCAGTTATACTGACAGTTTTCAAGCACTGGGACAGACTTGATGATATATTAAAACTCCTGATGGAAACTCTGATATTAAAAATCTGGCATGTCAAGTGTCACAGATGTTGTTGCATGTACAAATAATTTATGATTTTCTTTTATTTTTTAACCGTAACGATGTTAGTTTTAAACTATTTTTTTAATGGCATAATATTGGTTTTGAAACTTATTTCTGACTGTCCAGTTTAAAATATAGCCATGAATGTCATATTCATTCTGAATTCACCCTTTTTCATATATGTTTCAGGGTGTAAAAATTATCTTCAGTCAGTATAATGCATTTGTAGTAGATTTTCTCCAAATGGGGTCAACATTTTTTATGTTTTCTTGTGTTCATACTTGCCCCCTAATATTTTTCTAAATGTAATTTCACAATTTTTGTCTTGACAAGATTTTCTTTTTTTTTTTTTTTTTTTTTTTTACAGCTTGAAATAAACTTCTGGTATATTTCAGGCTTGATATTTGACTGTTCTTTTTGGTAGAACTGTAGAGCTCATGTAAATCAATTAAATTCCGATATTCATATTTACAATGTTGCCTGTATTGATTAAACAGAGTCTTGAAAGTCCTGTTTTTGTGTTTGACAGGCCTGGTTCAAGCAACCGTCCTGGAGGGGCGATGATGAGAAAGTTGGACCCGAGTGGGAAACTCAGTCGGTCCAACCTCACGCGCCGCGCATCAAATCTCTCAAACACACTGGGAGGATGGGCCAACACAGCTGTGAACACTATCCGGAAACCAAACTGAAACACACAGAGCCTTCAGTTTCCATGTTTAAAGGTGTTATTGTGGTGTCACTGTCAAATGTACTGAGAAACTTTCCTATAGCTGCTTGATTTTTGTCTTCCATGTATGTTTAGCATTATTTGTGAGTCTTGTGTTTACATGTCTCAGGTTAGCTCTGTAGGGTGAACATCCTCATAACTACCAAAGGGATTGTTTAAACAATATATTTCAGTTACATATCCTAACTAGTATAAAGAAATGCTGCACTATACTCAGATTGTAGCTGTAAAACTAACGCTAAGTGTTTTGAGAGAGTACAGGTGCTTTGTCTTTACTATATGTGTATGTAGAAATTCTAATGTTTTTATATTCCTTTTAATAAACCAAAATTTTATATTTTTTCTTTTTTATGTATGTGTAACTGGACCCTTTTTTTATATATAGCCTGGGTAATATTTTCATGGGCACTTTCTTGCAGAGGTTGTTGCTTGCAATGATCTGTGAATGATTCATGCTCCAATACAGTACACATAAATCATCAGATAATGTGATGGGGGGGAGAGAGTTAAAGGCTCATTACCAGATGACGGCAGTGATGATGTTATGAAGAAAAATCCAGTGAGTTATTAGCGTAGTGACAGCCTCAAATGAAGCAAAACACTATTTTTTTCTTCACTGTGCTTCCTTTTTCTGAATTAATGGGGAAGAAGGGAGAATCTGCCTAACTGAAAAATAATTGGACAATAAAAACTGCAAGTCAACAATATGTCTCCTTTTTCATAAATGTAAGGGCATTTGTTTGAAATTACATGTTGGGTAACCTAAAACTGTTTTTGTAAATTATTTGCATGTTACTGATATTAGAGCTAAATCTTGAGGGTTTTTTTATTATTATTATTGTTTTCCAAATTATTAGATTAAAACATTTTGAATCAGGAAAAAAAGGGGCTTGTTTTTCTTTGACAGAATGAAAGGCTTTCAGTTTGGCAGCCATTTATTTTGTCCCACCGCTAATGCATATGCGTTTGTCGTAATCACAGCAGTAAGTTTTTCAATAATGTATCAACTCTGTACATCCTAAAACTGAAATTTCTCTCCATTCTTGGTAGAATAGTTCCAAATTAGTCAGATTAGATGTAAAATGTCTTTCCAGTCAGATTAAGTCTGGAAGAAAATTTTCAGTTGCATGTATGTTTTTAATATAAATCTGTTTTTCTGAAAGATTAACTGTCTAAAGCCCTGTTTCTGAGTTTCTTTCAAAACAGTTCTGTCAGATACTGAGCTATTAGCATGTCATGAGACTGTCTTATGAGAACAGTCTTCAGTCAGAGGCCTCTTCAGATTTGTTACAACACTGACTGCCACCAGAGAGCCTTCCTCTCCACAGTATCCACACCTATTTGAAGATACTGGATATGAGGTTCAATGACATTTAATTTTCCTTTGGGACACATGCAAATATTTTTGAAATTGAATTGAATTATAGAAAATATTAGAGCACTATTTTGCCACACGGTAAAATGCATTTTATGAGAAAAGGCACCATCAGTGGTTAAAGCTGAGTGTTTTTCATAAAGACTATACTTCCCCCATGTGGTGAATCCTGGTCACATCATCTGAAAGAAGAACCATTCGGTTTGTCCCTTGTTGGTTCCCGTTAGGTTCAGATTGCACCGCCTCTGTCTCTCCGGCTTTGTACCCAAAGCTGAACACACGCCGCAGATAGCTTCTCCAGGATACCGGGGCTGCATAACGTCGAAGAATGGCTCTCCACGTCCCCAAGCCCCCTGGCTTTGCCCAGATGTTAAAGGATGGCGCAAAGGTCAGAATAAATCGGCATGTAGACTTCTTGGAGTACTTTGAAGAGGGCAACATGGAAGTTAGCATGCTAGCTACTGCTAGCCATGAGTTAGCATGTTCATTCACAGTCATGTGGGAGCTTTCTAGAAAGAGGCAGGCCGCTTGAAGCTGATGGTCCCGCGGCTGTAATAAAACACAAAATTCAGTTTCTTAAACGCCTTTGACATTTCTTTATCAGCGTACATATCAGTATCTACGTCTGTTGGTTATTTGATGCTGCAATGATAAATGATTATGAAGCTGCAGGCACACCCAGTTAGCCTTCAGCTAGCTGTCACCACTGAGAGTGATGCTGTGAATGTATTACATCCTGTTATGGGTCGTTTCACAAAATAAGCCATGAAATTAATATTTAAAAAAATAAAGTTGTTTCCTTCTTTACAAGTTGTTCCACTTTTCACAAAGTAAATTGCCGCGCATCTCTCCAGGCTTACATATATCAATTCATATTTATTTAGGTACTTACCAAAAGTAAGTACCATAATAGGTTTTCTGCTATTTTTAAACGTAATGACATTAGAATTTTTCATTTGTTCATTGTTCCTGTAATTAAAATTTTTTCAGCAAAAGTGGCTTTCTATGTTATTTTTATTTATTTGTTGATGCTGGCATTTATCTTAAATTATACACAGTATAACATAACTTTTTGTGCAACTTATTGATTATTTTGACTTTTAAGTTGCAGAATCACTAAAAGCTTTTTTTGTTGTTGTTTGGCCATCTTAAATTGAGGTTTTAAATTGAACCTGGTTTAGATTCAAACAAAGTTATGTCACACACACTTGTTAAATAAACAAAAGTTCCTCAGATCTAAAATTCTGTATTTTTCAGGTTTGACAATTGTTTTGGTAACAAGGTGCCAAAACAATAAGTAAATTAGCTCTTTATCAAATTGGAATCGGCTTCGAAAGTTTACATTCATATTTTTTTTAAAGCACGTAATAAAACTCCACCAGTCAGATGTTTCAAATATGTTTGAATTGTAATATTTGTTGAAATCATAGTGTAAATTCCTATTAAAAGTAACCACAAATATTTTTATTGATATATAACTGAAAATTTTCATTTGTTTATAAAAGACACACTGCAACTTAACAAAACATTTCTTTTGTCAAAACAGCACTTTTCAGGACTTGAAGAGGCAGTCTTTCGTAACATCAGAGCTTGTAAGGAGCTTTCTCAGACCACACGCACTGCATATGGACCCAATGGTAAGCATTTTCCTCTGACAAAAGTATATACAAACAGAGATTAAAAATCTATTACCACAATCAGATAGGGAAATAATAAACTGTCAAATTTTTCAGGTATGAATAAAATGGTCATCAACCACCTGGAGAAGCTGTTTGTCACCAACGACGCAGCAACGATCCTCAGAGAACTTGAGGTGAAGACTCTCTTCTACTCATTATGTTCTATCTACTCAAAATTAACAGAAAAATTAATGTGTTAATTATTTCTCTCTTTTTACTTTTATTTTTTTCAAGGTGCAACACCCAGCCGCCAAAATGATAGTGATGGCGTCCCACATGCAGGAGCAGGAAGTAGGCGACGGCACCAACTTTGTGCTGGTGTTTGCCGGAGCTCTGCTGGAGCTGGCTGAAGAGCTCCTGAGGATGGGCCTGTCTGTGTCAGAGGTGATCACATGCAGCTGTTGAACATTATTGTCGATAGCTGTGTTTATATTGACCATTAATTTCCCCAAATTGAAATTATGTAAATAAATTTGCTTAATGATAACATGCCAATAAAAAAAAACAACTCATGTTTTTTTATGAAACGTTTTTGAACTAGGATGAGGTGGTTTTTCAGCTGTGTAGAAATTTCCCTATATTATGCATTTGCAATGGAAACACTTCGCAAAAGTGTGAGTCAATAATCAATAGCCTGATGTTACTACTGAAAGAAAAGGCAAAGACGACCACAGGAAGGAGGATAATGATGCAGCATATTTTTTAATGCTGCATCATTAAAAAACATAAATTGCATTTATTTCGTGGAAACACCGCTATTGGGAAAGTGTGTTCTTTGGACATAAGCAGAATATCAACAAAGTTCGGCGCACATTTGTAATGAAAACAGTAAAGTTGGAAACTAGTAATTAATGGAACTATATTTACTCCTGCTTATAGATGCATTAATGCCAAATTATATTCCGCTTTTGGAGACTACATTAAAGCGTTTGATCACATATACTTTTTACATTGTTGCCTGTAATGCCAGTGAATGTAGCCATTAACAGCAGAAAGCACATGCAGCTTTTCCCCACTCCATCACAATATGTTTTCTTCTAAACTCAGGTTATCGATGGTTATGAGAAAGCATGTAAAAAGACCCTGGAGATTCTTCCAGACTGCATATGCTCCTCTGCCAAAAACCTCCGTGACATTACAGAGGCCACGGCTCTCATCCGTACAGCAGTCATGAGTAAACAGTACGGTAACGAAGACTTCCTTGCCAACCTCATCGCACAGGCCTGTGGTGAGTTGGCAACTTAAACGACCTCAATCAGCTCATTTGTGAAAACGTGTTGACTAGTTTGTGAAAATAGTGTCTGACTCTGTTCTTTGTTTGGTTTGTTTTTCAGTATCCATTTACCCAGAGTCCGGCAGTTTCAATGTTGACAATGTCAGAGTTTGCAAGATTTTGGTGAGCGACTGTTTCTGTTTAATATTGTTGTTTTTTTTAAGTTTCAGGTTGTTTTCTTAGAACTGTTGAATCCATTTTGTTTCTAGGGTTGTGGAGTGACGGCATCCACCGTGCTGCATGGGATGGTTTTTAAGAAGGAGGCAGAGGGAGACGTCACATCTGTTAAAGACGCCAAGATCGCCGTGTTCTCCTGTCCCTTCGACTGCATGGTGACAGAGACCAAGGTGACAGACTTTAAAAAAATAAATATATTTTTTGTTGTGATAATTCTTTAATTCTGCTGTATTGTGATTGTTGTTTCTTTGACTCGTTAAATTCATCATGGCCCATTCAGTTTTATTGCCGAAGCACAAACAAACCCATTTTCTAAAAGAAATACATACTCAGAACAGTAATTAGGTCAAAATTATGAAAAAATTATGCATTTTTTTATGTATTTCTAATATTGTATAAAAAAGCTTTTGTGGTTAACTGAAAAATCTACATGGGGTGTCAAATTTTATCTGAATAGTCATTGATTACTAATATAATCACTGCTGCTAGAATAATTAATGCTCATGGAAAATGCACGCTCTTACATTACATAAATGACTAAATTAACTGTCCATGTGTCTTTATGTTTGCTCATAGAGCTTTTAGTTGTTAGAATATTTTATAGCAAATCATTTCCATCTAGTATGAGTCCCATTTTTTGAATTTCTGTTAAAGTAGACAGCAGCATTTTAATTCTGTTGAGGTTTCTTGGTTGGTTCCTAACAGCAGCGCTGCTTGCTCCACAGGGCACAGTGCTGATAAATAATGCCCAGGAGCTGATGAACTTCAGTAAAGGGGAGGAGGACATGATGGAGGCGCAGGTGAAGGCCATCAAGGAGGCTGGAGCCAATGTGGTGGTAACTGGAGGCAAAGTGGCTGACATGGCTCTGCATTACGCCAACAAGTACAAGCTCATGGTGGTCAGGTAGGAACCCAGAGGCTCAGGTGATAAGATTTAAAGTGAAAGGAAATAAGGAGCAATTTTAAAACAATTAGAAGTCCTGAATTTTACACAGAGAAAGTGGGTTATAAATGGAAAATATTTAAGACTGTTACTAACTTTCTCTGTAAAGTGTTAAAGCGTGGGATACTAAAATAAAAAATTAGAGGTAAAACCAATAAATTAGCAGAACTTTGGTTTGGAAAATTGCTGAACAATGGTGCAATGTACTGCAGACAGACTGAAACAAAGTAGATAAATTTGGCCATAATGCATAGTGCCATCACACAAACTATGGACATGTCCTTGAATTAACCTTGAATTGAAAAAAAACATACTTTCCTTTTTACCATAGTTTTATTCTCAAGTTTTAGTTCTAAATCTTTCCTGCAGGCTGAACTCCAAGTGGGATCTCAGAAGGTTATGCAAGACCGTGGGAGCTGTAGCTCTGCCCAAAATGGTTAGTTTACTCACATTTTACCGTCTTCAGATATGGGAACTGTCACCAAACTAACCTTAACGTCAACCACTCTTAGACGGCTCCGACTCCAGATGAGATGGGCCACTGCGACAACGTCTACCTCGCAGAGGTGGGAGACACTCAGGTGGTGGTCTTCAAACACGGCAAGTCTCTTTTTGTTAAATCCACAAATTCAGACCAGATTTATCCTTTAGGACTGTTATGCATGACTTACTGTTTGCTGCGTTCTTTAACAGAGAAGGAAGATGGCGCCATCTCGACGGTGGTCATCAGAGGCTCCACTGACAACCTGATGGACGACATTGAGAGGGCTGTGGATGATGGTGTTAATACCTTCAAGGTTCTGGTGAGGGTAAGTAACTTGTAGAATAAGACCGTCAGCTCAGCAGCCATGAGACAGGTGCTACAGTTTCCGTCTTTCTCTCCCTCTGCAGGACAAACGACTGGTACCCGGAGCAGGAGCCACAGAGATCGAGCTGGCCAAGCAGATCACCTCATTTGGAGAGGTAACAGAGAGTTGCTGTTTTATCTTTTGATGTCCACATCATCCCAGCCTTAAATAAATAACCTGTCTGTCTCTGTAGTCTTGCCCTGGGCTGGAGCAGTATGCCATCAAAAAGTTTGCTGAAGCTTTCGAGGCGTTGCCGCGGGCGTTGGCCGAGAACTCCGGAGTGAGGGGGAACGAACTCATCTCTAAGCTGTATTCTGCTCATCACGAGGGAAACAAAAACGTCGGTTTTGACATCGAGGTGAGGAGATGGACATTAACTATAATTAATAGTCATTTTAATAAAACCCTACTATTTGAAGTAACTGATTGTGTGGCTGCCCTGTAGGGAGAAGGTCCGGCTGTGAAGGACATGCTTGAGGCTGGCATTCTGGACCCCTACCTAGTGAAACACTGGGGCATCAGACTAGCCACCAACGCTGCCATAACAGTGCTGAGAGTGGATCAGGTCTGTATAAACACATGAAAAATATAAAAGCTATCCCACCTGATATTGAAAGGAGTTGCTTTCTAAAGTCGCTTAATTAAAAAACAGATTGATTAGGTTTTTCCTTTCATAAGCCTCTTCTTCCTGTCGACATGGTAATTACTTGTCTTTTCGCAGCAGTCTAATGTAGAAAGTCCAGGTAGTTAATTTAGTATGTATGTATATAATCCAGATCATCATGGCTAAAGCTGCAGGGGGACCCAAGACTCCCAAACAGAGAGGCCACTGGGACAAAGACGGTTGGGATGAGGAGCCTGATCATTTTGAAACCCACCATTAGAGGGCGCACTTGTGTACATAAAGCGTTCTGTCAGTAGGTCTCCAAACAGAAAAGTTGCTCGTTCACAAAACACTGACATAGTGTTTGGACTCTCACAACTAATGTTGAATTTCAACCCTAAACGCTTTTAAGAGATTTTACTTTTTCCAAGTGTCCATCTAACAACACTAGGTTTGCAGCTGTGTGAAATTGCACAACATAGAGAGAATGGTGTGATGGCATGCTGCATGTACAACTGAAAACAGCACAGGATTATAATCTTGTATGTCATGTAAATCAAGAGAGTGGAGAATTTTGAAAAACATTTGCGATGCTCAGTTGACTTCGAGATTTTAGATGTATAAATATTAGCATTTGGACTGGAATGAGAACTTGCTAAACCTGACCTTTTAGAAACATGTGCCCACATTAACACTTGTCTTGTGACATAATCCTACAAGGAAATTCACTGTCCTCAACTTACCCTTCAGGGATTCCAGCAGCTGTGTTGAACTCAATGCTCTTGTTTACATTTAGAAAAGATACTGAATTTATGGTTTTCTTTTTTAGATCATCATGGCCAAACCAGCAGGTGGACCCAAACCTCCACAAGGCAACAAGGACTTTGATGATGATGACTGAACCTAAAGCTTCCCATTTTAAGTCCCTGCTGCATTCACAAACCTTTTCTACTTGTTTATTTAAAGTTCAACTGTTTGGTTTATTTTCTAGACAACCTCTGGTTGCATTGCTCAACATCATATGTGAAAGAAGAAAGTATAGATGGCTCTGTTTGCTTTTTATGTTCTGAGGTCCCAAATAAAAGGCACTGTCCACTACTTGTTTGGATTTTCCTCATTTCACGGTTTTCATATTATGCAGAGTATGTTTTTAGAAAACAACTCTTTAACCTTTTTGATTTTTTTCATTCCACAACCACATTAGCTTTTTCACTAATGTTCTCTAATAAATATCTTCAGATTTGTTAAATGAACCGTTTAAAGACATTTTATTTTGTTGGACTGCTTTAACACAAGGTAGTGGTTTTATAGAGAAGATAATGGGGAAAAAATACCTTTAATAATAAGGCTATGCTCTGATTTAAAAAAATACATTTAAGGTATTGCATTGTGTTTAGATAGCTTAATTTGATGTATTATGAAATATGTGGAGTAAATTGTGAATTTGATTGAATGCTACTCTGAAGGTTTGTCATTTGAAGGCTGAAAACGTTGACAATTCTGCAACCCATGGCTTAATTTTAGTAATTAATCTCGCAATGTTACCTTGAACGCTTTCTTTGTTTACAGTGATGATGGATTTCTTAAAATCACAGTTGAATCCAAGCGATTTTGAGGAATCCCGATGTAGTTGTAATTACACCGACCAGCAGATGGCGCTAAAGTCTCTGGACTGCCGAGATGTGGGCGGATTTGCTCTGACGTTGTCCACGTTTGGGATTAACTTGTTTTTTTATGCCGCCATATCCCTTGTATTTTTTTTTTTAATGGAGGCCAGACGAGCTGATAGTACTGAATAATATGACTTTGCTTCAGTAGGCGCTTCGCTTCAGCCTCCTCTGTGCGTTGGGTTTTGGAAATGGGACGGGTTTGTCCTGCGGCGCAGATTGAGAGGCTGACTGAGGAGCAGCAGACGTCGCACTGACAGAGCTACTGCGCCGATGTCCCCTTACGCAGATAATAATAATTATTATAATAACAATAATGGGGGCAGACGGAAGTAAAAACAGGAAGGTGAGTTGAATGGAACTCCTGGTTGCTACGGTGTGGTGTGGCGATGGTTTGGTGTCCAGGATGCAAAGTCGCTTTTCTTACAAGACGCGGCTCCGTTTCATCTTGATTTAAATCAGCACGCGAAACTAAAGTATTACATTGTGGTTAAGGATTTACCTACCTAGTCAATAAAATATTTTCACAAGAATCCCGCTCCTACAGCATCAAGCTTTTACTTTGAAGGTCTAAAAAAAGCACATCTCCTTGTGCACATAATTTATTTACAGATACAAAATGTTGATGCGAAAGGCCTACTGCACCCTGTAAACCACTGTGAGGTGGTAGTATTGGATTTATATGCGTTTTTTATTTTAGGTCGTATAACTTTTCCTGTCTGAGAGATCAGTGCTGCTGTGTGTAATGAATTATGGTTTTGATACAAACAGTAGTATTGCATGTAGTTGAAACTTTTACTGGTACTTTAACTTCATTATAGAAGTGACTTTTAAACCGTAAGCGAACATACAGTAACAATATTGGAAATAGTGCGTTAAATGAATTGTGGTTATTTTGTAACTTTGCCATGCAGTGACACTATAAACCCTATTTCTGACATCCAGATGTTACAGTAGAAATAACTGAATTTTAACTCATCATCTTGGCATATTTATGATTTTCACGACCTATTTTATTTACTGTTTTAATCAGAAACTTGTTTAGATGTTATTAAGTCAGTTAAGCAACAAGAAGGGTCTGGGGAGAATATATCATTCTATGCAAATGACCAACCAAACAGAGACCTAAGAAGTTTATGAAAAAATATTGATTTTATTGTGTTAAAAAAACATTTAAGCTGTCCTGATTAGAACCAGAAGTTGAGAAAAGCAATCTAAAAACAAAGATGGAGGATTAAGGGTCTTCTTCTACTAACCCAATACAAACCTTTTACAAATCTTTTTTTTTTTTTTTGGACCAAAAACTACCCTAGGGAATATTTTCATGTAAGGAAATTACAAAGCGTTCCAAAAGCAGAAATGTCAGTGGAATTCCTGTATATCAGGAATGAATCATCTGCCTAAAATTCTTCAGAAATTTCCAAGAATTAGTATTTATTTCTGATATGGTCATTTTTCCACCTCAACTTTAGCACTCAAAAATAGCATCTTATGTACTGTATTCTTCAAGTCTTTTTCCTCTTTGTCTATTAACTTTTTCTTGGCAAAACCTTAAAGAAATAAATATTTTTAGGAATTGCATGTGTGAAGTGCACAATTCAGAGACTGAGATCCAGACAAAAGTTAGGGAGCAAAAACAATCTTTAATACGTCTGCAGACGGAGAGCAAGAAATATACTGTATTAGGCACAAATTAGGATCCGCTCTGAGGAACCCAGAGTTGCATAGTTACTTTATTCATCTCTCTTTACTACCGAGGCGGAGACTCGATCTTCGAAGACCAAACAAAAGAAACAAAGGAAAACATACAAAACCTTGTATGCTTATTCACTGTAATGTTTACGGGAGGTGAAAACTAAACACTCTATCTCCATGCAGGGAAGGCCACGGGAAAAACAGCGAGTTCCCAAATAACTGTCTGGGGAAGTTCAGCAACCCTGGAAACTTACTTCAGTAGACACATCTTGGTTCATTAGTTTGTACACCGTTTCCAGCTGCACAGAAAAACACCTTGACTGTGATTCAAAAAACATTACATTTATATGACACATAAAGGAACATCATTTAATACGAATAAAACCTCTTCACAATTTCACCCTTTTTTTTTTTTTTTTTCTTCAGGGAGCAAAAAAGCAAGTGAATGAAATCCATAAATGATAAAATGTCTTGAATGGTAAAATGAAGCAACTGATAAAATGATAAAATGAATTTAATATAAAATGAGTGTAAATTGTAATAATAATGGAGTAATGCAACAAAACAGGTTGAGAAACACAAAACATCAGGTCACCTTCGCCATCAAGTAATGGTTGCAAATATGAACATCATAGGATGTTTTCAGCAAGTATTTTGACCTCTTGTGACATTAAGCAAAGCAAAAACCTGGAAGCAAAAATTTCACATTAAAGATAAAAATCAAAAGAAAGTGTCAATTTACTTGTACTTGGGATAATGAGAAAATCTTGGTCGCTAGAGAAAACAAATTCAACCTCAACATCAGGCGAGTTAGGAGGCCCATGGAACTGGGCCACAGTTGTAGTCAACAAAGCATTTGAGACAGAATCAGAAACGGACGACTGCACAGGATTATTATCCAACCGGGCATAAGTATGCACAGTTTTTTGCAAGGGGGTTGAGAATATAAGTCTAGTTAGCATAACTATAGAGATAGTTAACCTTTAGACGTGTGAAATATTAGATATAGCATGAACATTTAGAGTAGATTCCAAGTTAGGGAAACTTAGATAAAGATCCAAACTAATATAACTGGTGTCTCTCGGAACTTACATAAATTTCTAAGGAGGGTTTTTTTGTTGTACGTTGCCAGTTAGATAAGAGAAACTGGAAACGGTCCAGACCATTAGTCGCATCTTTAACCTGCATCCTATAAATAGAAACTGGTAACAAGAGTGTTACGAGTGCACACAGACCAGCTGAGTTTTTGGGTAACCCATCAAATAATCTGTAATAATCACCACACCATACATACGAAACCTTGTATGCTTATTCACTGTAATGTTTACGGGAGGTGAAAACTAAACACTCTATCTCCATGCAGGGAAGGCCACGGGAAAAACAGCGAGTTCCCAAATAACTGTCTGGGGAAGTTCAGCAACCCTGGAAACTTACTTCAGTAGACACATCTTGGTTCATTAGTTTGTACACCATTTCCAGCTGCACAGAAAAACACCTTGACTGTGATTCAAAAAACATTACATTTATATGACACATAAAGGAACATCATTTAATACGAATAAAACCTCTTCACACATGCCTTCCTGTATGAGTCAGATAAAACAGGGAAAGAACAAACAATAGGACAAACACTGCCCTAGTCAATAGGGTTGACTAAAACAAGCATCCATCTCTAATAGGTTCTAATGGAACCCACTAGTAATATCCAGCATTACTGTGCCCTCTTATTGTTTGCTCATATCAATCAATCAAGTTTATTTCTGTAGCACATTTCAGCAAAATGGTCGTTCAAAGTGTTTTACATCATAAAAACACACACAAAAAAATACAAAGTTAGAGCCACCATTACACATCAAAATGTTAATTAATATTCTACTTATAATGATTCAAAAGCAACTCGAAACAGGTGTTTTTTTTTAGTCTAGATATTTGATGTAGTACTTTTTAAATGTTGTGTCTGTCTCCATTAAATCACCGGTCCTGTACTCCTGCCCGACTAGAGGGCCTCAGGAGGGGCTGAGGACGAGCCCATCCCATCTGGATGGCGGGGTCTCCTCTCCAGCATGAGCCTGTCTATCCCAGAAGGCCTCTGCCGCTTGGCCCCACCAGCCCTCCGTCTGGGCCAGCGTCGGATGCTCCAAGGAAAAGCCCCTGAGGTACCAGAGCACGTCCTCAGGTTGGCAGGAGTCGGCCCAGGCAGGCTGAGAGGAGAGTGGAGCCTCCCAGGCTTCGTTACCATGTTTCTGCCTGAATTCCCCCACAGAGCTGTGCCAGGGCACGAACACTTTCAGGTAAAAAAATAAAAAAAAATCATCTTCATTAGACAAACTTCAGCTGTATTGTATTGTCTATCTTCGATGTTTTCAAGCTTTCTCATTTGATTTTACCCTTTTTCTCGGACAAGGTGCTGGGATACATTGCCAAAGGTTCATTTGGACCCATTCTGAAAGTGAGGGACAAGTCCAAACAGAAAACATATGCTGTTAAAGTGAGTGTGCTACCTGATTGTTATACATTAATGTGTTTATTTAGCTTTTTTCACCCATTATGTAACAGTTTTCTGTCTTAGTTTTCCTATCTTATGGGTTATTCTTGATTGAATACTATTTGGTTCTGCAAATGTAACGTAAATGTGCCATGTTAATTCACAAAAAATTTTCTACATTCTTGCTTGTTAGAATTTGTCTGTTGGTACAGATTTGTATGCATCAATATTCATAAGTCCCATCTCTTAATATATTCTGTATGAGCTGTTTTTTCATATTTTAGTCTTTTTAGTGGGTTTTACCTGGCAAAATTATTCATAATTGATGCATATCATAATTTAACCTTTTTACATTTTGTCACATTTGAACCAAAAGTTTTGATACATCTTATTATTATTTTATGAATTTTATATGTATATGTATATATCCATCCATCCATCCATCCATCCATCCATCCATCCATCCATCCATCCATCCATCCATCCATCCATCCATCCATCCATCCATCCATCCATCCATCCATCCATCCATCCATCCATCCATCCATCCATCCATCCATCCATCCATCCATCCATCCATCCATCCATCCATCGTCTGCCGCTTATCCGGGGTCAGGTCGCGGAGATAGCAGCTTAAGAAGGGAGGCCCAGACTTCCCTCTCTCCAGCCACTTCTTCCAGCTCCTCCGAGGGAATCCCAGAGGAGCTATATATATATCATTGTTTTTGTGTCCACCAACAGGTTATACCTAAAGCAGAGATTTTAAGACTGGCGGTTTTGGAGCAGTCAAAAGAGGAAGTTATAGTTCAGGTGAGCGGTGCCTTCAAAAGTCTTTAAAAGTATTATTGATATTTTTACTTGGTTTCAAATATGTTTCTATAGATGTATAATTATCCATTTCATGTCGCAGTAGAATTTTCCATGTTTGATTTTGAAAGTTTCAATGTATCCAATACTTAGTACACTTATGAGTCAAATAAAACAATACAAAAAAAGCAAAGACAAAAAAATTAAAGTATAGAACCTATAGAAATGACCTTTTTAAGGACTATAATTTTTGACCTTTGCCCCCGCAGCGTCAGGTTCGCCACCCATTTGTCCTCGACCTCCAGGATTGCTGGCAGACTCAGCGCCACCTTTACATTAGTGAGTCAGGCAGCTAGCAGTATCCCACTCGTTCCCAAATCTGCAACCCGTCACTTCACCTTCTGTCCCCTCTGCTGCTGATCTCCCCACAATCCCAAACCTAACATAATATCAAAAATTCAAGTGTTTAAATTCCAGATTTCACCTAAGCTCCCAACCTCTCCAACTCCCACCATACCAGTTCTTCAGCCGTGTTGCCCTTTTTCCCTTCCCTCCAGAGCATTTATCCGTTTTTCCAGAATTACTCACTGACTCAGAAAGTGTGACCCACTTACTCTGCCTCCCAACCCCCTGTTAAAAGAACTCCACAGTTCAACAGAAACACATGCCACAGTTAAAAGGGCCTGCTGCATGCTTTTATCCAGAATCCTCTTGTAACCCTACTGCTGGAGTTTTGTTATATTAGCAACAACAGACTGCAAATCGGAAGAGCCTTTCCTTGATTTATTTAGATAAAGATATGTAGGTGTTCTTCACTTTAGCACAAGTTTTAATGCTTTAGATTTTTCATCAGTGCTTTTTCCATCCACTGCCAACTTCACCGCTTCTCATATGTCCCACTGCGTCAGAGGCTCATGTTAAACCATATTCTGCTCCAACAGTGTGTGACTACTGCAGCACAGGGGACCTCTACACCTACTGGCAGATGATTGGTCAGTTCTCAGAGGAAACCCTGCGAATATTTGCAGCAGAGCTGGGATGTGCACTCGGTTTGTATGTTTTTTTTTAATGTCAGGGAGGTGATAAGAATAAAGCTACAGAGTCAAGCTCTGCAGAGATTTGCAAGTCAGTTTAACTTTTTGTGTTAGTGAAAATGGATTACAGCAAAACTCCCTTTAAAATAGAAGCTGTTTTAACTTATTTACTCTAGAAGTATTTAATTCTTTTAGAGTAAAAAAAACCCAGAAAATTTCTATTTTAATAACAAACCTTTTTAACGGGGCATTGTTTTATTTTTTTACATAATTTTCTTTATTAAAAAAATAATATTTTTAACAAAATTATTTTTATTATTTTTAGCTTTCTCTTAAATGTTCTACATAGTCATTTTATAGGTTGATAATTACTTATTGTTCATTTTACAGGGTTTTTGCATGACTTTGGGGTCATCCACAGGGATGTGAAGGTAAGACAATCAAATATGTCACTTCTTACATCTTTAACACATACAGCAGTACTGCAAAGCAATAGGCATATTGTAAAATTACTTTTGAAATCTACATAACTTATTTTATGTCACATGACTAATTATAGGAAAACACAATATGTTAATTTAGAAAGAAAATGTATTTTTTATACCTGCAGTTTGTCCTCAAGTGTAAAGGACTTTTATTTATTTATTTTTTTTTAGAAATAGATGTCCCACTTTTAAGGTGTTAAGTGTTCCACTTCCTTTGTTTCATTCATCATCCCAGTGTTTTGTTCAGAACTTACTAAGCCGTACTTTGTCTTGTTCTGACTGGACCATGCAAACCTAAATGTAAATACCTCTGGCACTATTGGCTTTATTGAATTAATGACCCAACATGCTGCATCTGAAAAGTAATTATGTTCTTATCACCAAACAGTCCTAAATAAAACATGTAAATCATATCTTATGCAATGCTCCTTAACAGGTAAATGTTAAATATGAATATATAAAGTATAAATTTATGAAATTATTTGTTTTTCATTAAAATATTAGTTTTAAATACCTTTAGATAATAATAGCCCAGTTTTGCTTGGAAATATTTTTGCCAATTTAAAGAAATTTCCTGAGAATTTTTTAAAATAACACAATAGATTAAATGATTTATTTAGCAAATAAATCATTAAATAAATGAATAATTCATTTATTTAAAACCAACACTAAATCGCAAAACACAAAACTCAAACTTGACTTCTGAAAATGTGATTAATTTAATATAAAGACAGAACATTCATACATAGTTGGATAGATAAAAAAACTAAACTTCTTTGTTTTCTTTTTGGATATTATCTGTTATCCTTTTCATAATTTGTGATTTATTCTTTTTATTTAATTTTATTTTAACTTTGGGGCTTATGATTAACCAGGTCTTGTACGTATTAATTTATGAATTCAAGTAGACTCATTCAGATTTCCTTTACTTGATTTCAGATGGAAAACATCTTGTTGACGGACAACGGTGAGTGAAACAGTCACCAGCAGAGGGCGGCATACCTCTGAACAGGCGTCACAGAAGCTTCCAGAGATCCTTTTTACTGACAAAGCTCTCAGCTCATATTTTATACTAATAGCAAAGAGATCAAGAGTTATTAGAAGAAGATGTTTATATTTTTATGAGGTCCAACTCATAAAAAAGAGTTCTTAGTATGGTGGATATCTACAGAATTGTGATAAATTCTTGTAATGATGCAGAGAAAATTATCCTTTGTAGGCCACCTCCGCTTGGCTGATTTTGGTTTGTCCCGCCGACTGGAGAGAGGAGGCCGAGCCTTCACAATCTGTGGAACCATCCAATACATGGGTGATGAAAATCTGCCAGGAAAACATTAATGCCCCAACAGTTTGATGATTGTTTTTATGTCTTTTCTTTTCCGAAGTAAAGAGCTGAATGTTAAAAAATAAAACTTCTGCTTTTTTTTTTTTTTTCCCTTTTACCCCTGTTCAGCTCCAGAGGTGCTCAGTGGTGGACCTTACAACCACGCAGCTGATTGGTGGTCACTGGGAATTCTGCTGTTCTCATTGGCCACTGGGAAGGTGAGCCTTTGTTTCCAATGTGTCCAGCAGGCCTCATCTACAGGCAGACATAGGGAGAGCTGCACCTAAACTGGGTTGAAAAAACAGACCTGTTTTCTTCTGGGCAGCATGTAAGATCATTGTAATAATTAAACTGATGAATAAACTTATGATCTAAAATCTGTCTCTTTGTTTGCCTCTACAGTTCCCTGTTCCTCCAGAACCAGATCATTGCAGCATGCTGAGGAAAGTGAGGAGTTTTCCCTATGAAATGCCCCTGAGCCTGAGTTCACCGCTCTCCATGTTAATAACAGAGGTACTTTCTCAGAGTGTGTAAATATAGTTTTGTCATAGTTTCACTAATCTGTAGCATTATGATACTTTTTTCCAGCTTTTGTGCAAAAATCCACTACGACGCCTGAGGAGCTTGGAACGTTTCAAACGACAAACATTCTTCTTTGGGACATCTTTTGACCTCTACCTCCTTCAGCGCCGGCCTGTGCAGGTAACCAACGAATGCCTGGTTGTAGAAAGTTCAAGGTTTTTTTTTTTCAGATTATCTTAATGAACTTTTCTTCTCCATCAGGTGATCTTGGAGCTGAGAGAGAGACCAGACCGTGCTGCCAAAGCTCGAAGGGGCCTCACTTTGTCCCTGCTGCCCCTGAAGGGCTTTGACTTTGATTCTCTCCTCAGCCCTGCTGCCACACCGGACACACAGCTGGATGGAGACACACGCACACGCGCAGCTGTCCCGCTGCCGGGCCCCTCACTGCAGCCCACTCAGGAAAAAGTTCCACGCAGGGAAGTGTTTGTATGACAAAGTCTGGCTACAGTGTGGAAGGGAAAGGCCTTCATTGTGTGCAAAAACACCATTTGATTATTTTTTACTCAAAAATTAAGAGAGTAAAAAAGTGAAGGATTTAAATACATAAACCCCCATATTTACAGTGCCTTGCAAAAGTATCCAATATTGCAACATTGTAGCCACAAACGTCACTGTGTTTTATAGGGAATTTATGAGATAGACCAACTTTTAAGTATTGCATAATTGTAACGTGGAAGCACAAATATACACGGTACTTTAAAAACTGCAGCAGGAAATCATTTTGGGGTGTTTCTCTACTGGCTTTGTTTGTTGAAACTTTACTCTGTGCAAAAAATAAAGTAAAAATAAAAAAAATTTAAAAAAATTATCCTTCTACTTTACAGTCAAGCTTTATTTTGTTTTGCTTTGTCTCAATCCTACTCATGAGTTAATATTTGTGGTGATAACATGATGTAATGTGACTAATTCAAGACTGAAGAGTATTTTTTGCAAGGCACTGAAATAACATTGTACTTTTTTCTGTAATTTTATTTTATTCTACACCTTTTAACATTTAATGTCTCTTTTGTAGCATTTGTTCAGGGGTTTTGTGCCATTACCCAGTTAGTAAAACATCCAGTCTCCTCATGGTTCGGCTGGCAAAACATTGTGTACTGAAGATAATTTAATCCTAAATTGAAAAGTTAGGCTAATAGCTCTAACTATATTGTATTTGTTTAACCATTTAACCTTATTTGTAGTGAAATCCAGCCAAAACCCTTAAGAAAGGAGAGAGGATGTTCAAACCTTTGCCTTTATCCATCATGTTGTGTCATGAAACCATTTTTTAACAAAAGTGGACAAAAACAACTCCATCATTCGTTCTAACTCCTTACCTTTGTTGTCCTGCCTGTAGAACTGGTTACAGCAGAAACTTCTCCTCTGATCTCAAAGTGAAGCAAGCAACACAGCCTTAGAGTCTGATGAGCAACTCTGCGTTTATTTCCTACAACCAGTGACTCAGGGCATTGCTGGCTTTACTATTTAGCTTAATTTTTCACATCAAGTCAGATTTTGAACAGTATGCTCCAAACTTCTATTTGAACTTTATAATATTTTTATAAATATGAAGACTATTTTCTATTGTTTTTTCCTCACTAAACAGATATTTAGATGAATTTTATAAATGATGCATGATGTTTACCCAGATTGATTCACATGCACAACTCTGAGCTTACCTTCTCGATCACAAATGCTTGTGTACATATTTATAGAATATAAGCATATTCCTCTTTATAAAGCTTATATAAACATTTTTGGAGAGTATTTCCTCATGTATTATGATGTCTTTTTGCAGTTACCATGTAGCAGAAAACAAATATTAAAATAGTTCTGCTGATTTTTTTGGCTTTTTGTTGTGATGTTTGGGTGCACGGATCTCTATTGTCTAACTCACCCCAACATTGTGTCAGATTATTGCAGAATATCCTGCCTCAGTTAAGAAATCACATTGTGCATTTACTTAGCTGAGTTACTCAACACACCTTACTCACAGATTGACATTTAAAACACTAAAATTAGCAGGTGGTGGTCTATACTTGGAGAGAAAGATTTCTTTAGATTCAATTTAATATTTCAAATTTACTCATTGAAGACAAAAAAATGTTTGCTTCTCCTATTGCTGACAATTACATTTGATTCTCTATTTATTTAACATCCTTTTTTTAAAAAATAAATAAATAACAGATGCATTTAATGTTTCCACACCTAAAACCAAACCAGTATTTTGACTACATAATAGTTTGTCTTGAAACAAAACATTCCATTGGCTGACAGACAAAATAAAGACAAAATACTTAAAGACAACTTCAAGTATTTTTAGGATGGACATCTGGACTTTACTTTTTTCCAATTCTTTTTCAAGGAAACTCTTTGGTAACCATCATTGTGAAGTTTACATATTCTCAATTGGATTTAAGCCAGGACTTTGTTGTGGCAATTCTAATGTCTGAATAAACTTTTGATCTAAACCCCTCCATTGTTTTCTGACTTCCAGCAGGACTACAAGAATCATGCAGCCAGTTGTAAGTCTTTTGCAGCCAACTACATGTTTTCTGAAATGATCACCTTGTATTTTGCTACTTTTATCTTTCTATTCCTGTCCCTTGGTATAATGTGACAGCCTCATTTTGCAGTACTCATAGTGTGTTCAAGGTGATGTGCAGTGTTAGGTTTCCACCTCACTCTTTTCTATACAGTTGATAATAAGATAATAAATTATTATCTGTTGGCTGATTTCATAAAATCCTAAAAAACACTGAAGTCTGTGACAGAATGTGAAAATACAAATGATAATAATGTAAGGGAAGGTAGGCCTTCCTCTGTGAGAATTGTGTTTCAATTAAAGAGGTTTCTTCAGTCATCCACAATTCTATCAGAAGGCGATTCTTCCATTATCATTAAGTCCTCGTCCCATTTCCAGTTGTTGAACACAGTTGACTTTCATTCACCAGTGCTTACAAAAAATAAATGGTAAACAGTCATGAAAGGGAAGAGATGTCAAAAAGCTGAATACAGAAAATGTCATTCATGATAAAGATGGACAACAGAGCTTCAACTTGTTACACTGGCTCTGCTGTAATGACATTAAAGCTTGTGGAATCATTGTTTACTACCCTCTACATATGTAGGTCCACACCAAAAATAACTTCACCTATTAGCAATAACACCACCTAAGAGGCTTTAAAGACAAGATGCCAGCAGCAGCAGCTTGAAGTTCACAGATTCCCTGCTGAAACTGGGGGACCCAATTGTGAGTTAAATCAGTAGATTTTAGAGTGCACGTCTTATCTGTAAAAGGAGAAATCAGAGAGTGAACTGAGCCTAGGCCACAGCTATAGGCATGTATCAACCGTGTGTGCAGAATTTGTATGCAAGAGGCCTCTAGGAACAAACTGAGCACAGCAACAGTTTTCACTGAGTGCATCAACAAGGGAGGATACAACTCTCTGGTAAACAAGTGCTATTCCCAACCTTTATTTATTAAATTTGCTGTTGGTGTCAAATGAAAATAAAGGAAAAAAAAGACATTGCTTGCAAAACTATCTAACCCTCTTATGTTGAAAGTGTCAGTAAACAGCAGTTTTTCAGTCCTGCCACAAATTGTCATCATTCAGTTTGTTTTGTGACCTGGAAGTTGACCGTGAGCTTTCAACAGAACATGATTTGCTTATTTGTCTCATGCTGTGAACTTCAGCCCCATTTGAAGGTTTTTTGAAGTCGAGATTTTTGTTCCCAGTATTGTCCCATTTTTTTGTCCATTTCATTGAACAATCCACTAGTTTTCATGTCTCTGCTCTGGATAATCATTGCCATCTTATCCTGCTGCCACCACCATATATCACTCTGTTCAGATGTGCTGTTAGTTCTCTAAACAGTTTTTTTGCATTTCAGATAAAAATGTTTTATTACAATCTGATCAACAGTTCTCGTGGGCCAGTGTCCTGTAACTTTTAGATTTATTTCTGCTTCAGCAGACCTGAATTAAATAATTAGATCATTCAAAAGACTCTGGAGAACCTCAACTGCATACTGAGGAGACAATTCAGATATTTAATTCAGATGCATTGGACGAGAGACACATCTACAAAACGGTCCATAATTACAGAAGTTTGGCACCCCTTGAAGACCTTAATTAATATGTTTCTCTGTCCCCTGCATAAATGGCAGTTTTGGTCAATTTTACTCTGGACTTTGTCAGGTTCTTTCAACAATGGCTTTCTTCTGGCTACTTTAAAGCCCAGGTTTGCAAATTGCACAAGTATTGTCTGCCTTTCTAACTAGGTGTTAATTTAGCTCATAAAATCCCAACAAAACATTGAAATTCATGACTGCAAATGTAATAAAATATGAAACAGTTTGGGAATTGGAATATCTTTGCAAGACGTTATAAATTACGTGAGATTGTCCATTGGCTTCATTACTTTTTATAATTCAGCAGTCAGTAATAATCTGGGAATATTTGGACATATTTTTTGCTTTTAATTAAACTGCTTCCTTAAGGTGACGTGTGTTTTATTAGAAGTCCGTTTACTTGTTTATTACAGATGAAAATTAAGCAGCCAGTCTGGAAAAGATGCAGAATCATGCTGCGTTCGCGCTGCTCTCTTCCTGGATGGAGGATGTCCTTCGGCGCATGCGCGATACACGCAGTTTCGCTCCATCACATGACGCAAGGTGTTGGCTCCTCCTTCGCCGCGAGAGGCTTTCTAAAGGGTCACGTTGCGCTGCAGCAGTTAAACAGGAGACGGCTCCGCATCTCTAACTTACAGCTCGCCTGCTCTGTCAACTAAAGACATCAACGAACAGGTAACAGTCAAATCTGAACTACCATTTATGACTACTGTACATTGTAACATTTTCATATCGGACCGCTGTAACGGCCGAGTTGATGCTGATGGGAATGTGATGCTGCGCTACTCAACCTCGAGCTAACTTTGTCCTCCTAGCTTGTTAGCCACAAATTGTTCCTGTCGTTCTTATGACGTATGTCTCTTATTTTGCGTGTTGGCTACTAAAAACAGTCTTGAGCTCTTAAGCTTATTTGACCATATATAAAAGCTGCACCTTTTAGGGATAAACGAACCACACAACAGGAAGGGCGTAAAACCGTTGACCTTCAAGGATGGAAGTGAAGGTGACGGATCTGGTTTTTCGGTTAGTTAAGTTAAGGTACCATGGATATGCAGTTTGAAACGTGCTCAGGTCGATGAGACGTTTTGAATAAAAACGTGGTTAACAGCGGTGGAAGATGATGGGGGAGGGTGATGATGAAGTCGTTTCCTGTCGGAGTGTATCTGTTAAAGCGCACGTAGACCTCTGATGTGACGAAGGCGGGGCGGGCATAGGAGACACGCTATAATAACCGCAAATCCGTAAATGTGGACACGATGTTTTAATAGAAGGCAAACAAGAAGCATCAAGTCAATTTTGAAGTCCTTTTTTTAAATTATATATATATTTACACTTTATTTAATTTTTTTTACAATTTTACATTGCCACTTTTGTTACTAAGCAACACCCAGCTGTACTACTTCAGTTGCTGCACTTGTTGGTTCTTTCCTACCTTAGTCCCAATCCCTAAAATAATCCGGTTCCTTGTTTTTAAAAATCATATAACATCAAATGCAGTCTGCCATTTTGAATGAGAGAAGATATACAGCAGCCTTATGTCACCTGTGTTTCACATGAAAATGTTGCTGTTGTGTATACCTGCACATTTTCACAACTGTCAACCTCTCTTTGAACCGCACCATGCATCACAGCCGTCACATCTGCTGTAGGCTCCTGTATCAGTGGGCAATGGGCAGTGCTCCGGCTAGTGCTGCTGGATCAAAGTCTGAAGATAGAAACAGCCCAAATACAGGAACGTTCATCAGCTCCAAGGCCAGCAGCCTGTCTGGTAAAAATGCAAGCAAGCAGGCTTTTTTTTTTTTGTTTGTTTGTTTTACAATTCTAACTAGTGCTGCTGGGCAGGAGCCATTTTTAGCTCTATAGCTTGCAACCTGGAGACAACAACAAGATGAGTAAATCTCCAAGTGGGAGGCAGGGGGGGGTAATGATGCAGCAGAACACAGATCCCGTTTCCCTTTAACGTTGCCATCCTCTCCCAGCTTTTTCATAATGATAATAATTAAAATGTTAATATGTGCAGTTCCAGCTTGATTCTGTTGATACCAGCCTTTTAAATCCCTGCTTGCAGCCTTTATAAATGCTGGGCTTCATAGTTTGCAGGCCTGAAGTGTTTTATAGTTGAAAGCTTGCAGTAACACTTCACAACAGACCAGCTGTAACTTGCTTATTGTATCTGTTGGCAATGATGTTGAAGATTTTAGGATTTCTGGTTACATTCTGCTCGGTGCTTAGCAGGGTGAAAATGGTTGCATCAGACACGTCATGACGCACAGTCAGGAAGTAATAAATATGAGTGGGTTCTACTGTAGTTAAATTTTAATTGTGCCCAATAGATTTATTTTGACTGAATAGTACAACAGAGATTCAGGGTCAATAATTTTAATTATCTAAATCATGTGGGGATCTTTGTTATAATTCAAACATTACATATAACTGCCATATATTTCAGTATTCTGTGATCAAACTGGCATTTCCTGTTCATTTCTGAGGGATTCCATGTGACGCAGCAGGGAGTTGGCCTCCTATCTTGATGTCGCAATGCAGACATGGTGTTTGCCTGGTAGAGAAAAACCACTGTGCAACAGACAGGAGTGAAAATCTGAGGTGTGACTGAGAGAAAGTTTAGCTTCTTGCAAGATAATCTCAGCTTCTCTCTCAAAAGATACCATCTGAAAATTGTTTCAAAAATCCCCCCTTTTTTGTTTTTTAATTAAGAAAATATTTTATTATAAATTGCATCTCAAAACAGTTAAACAACAACTTTGTTGAATATTTCTCTTCCTTTGGCACTTTCTCAAACCCTACTTACATGAGCCATGATCATGTTTGAAGCTTGTATAATAAAAATGTCAAGTTGGGTTACAGGTTGTTGTCATATAATATGCTCTCTGAAGACTACGTTTAAAAGGTTGGATGTCTCACAGGGACCTTGTTGCATCTTTGGCTGCTGGTTCCACCAAAGCCAGTTCCATTTTAGGACATTTTGCCTGGACACCATTGCTGGGCTCAGCAGCCAGCTACAGTGATTGTGACACTTTAGTTCTCCAAATCTGTAAGTTTCAATGCACACAGTAAGTGTCTGTGGAACAAAAATAATCTTTATATATATTTTTTTATGTTTCCCAAATGCATTGAATGTTCCCTAGAGACAATATAGGAGCAGACGCTAAAACAGAAACCATCAGTGTCTCTTGCAGCCTCACTATTACAGCAGGCAAACTAATGGTGTTTTATTGAATTGCACTTATTTTTGTCATCAATATCCAGAAATAAATTGGAACATATTTGTAATGAAAGTAGTAAACCATATAAAATATATTTTTAGATGCCTTGTGGTGGCTTATAGCACAGCATGAACCAGGAGAGCAATGATGTGATCCATACATGGTTGTTAAATAATCACTGGTGTCTGGGAGACCATCCA